TGTGTGTGTGTGTGTATGAGAGAGAGAGAGAGAGAGCCTTGTTAAAAACAGAATGCAGAATAAGTTCATGTCAACACAGTGAAAGAAGCAGCTAATTCTGTATCTGTAACACAGATACACAGTATTTACACACATTGTCCAAAATTGCATCATTGGGAAATGGTAATGGATTTCTCTCCTTCTAAAATAGTCATTAAGAGTCAGCATTGTGTGTATATGTGTGCAAAATGATAATGTTCAGAATTTAGATGACATTTTCTGATGAATTGTTAACATTCTAAGAAGAAACATGTCAAGCCACTCTTAAAATTGCCAATAAATCCAGCATCTTCATGTAGTCCTATGCATATTTTCCAAAAGAAATAACTTATGTTTTTTGGGGTGGTGGTGGATGGGGGGGACTTAGAATAAGTGTATTAAGGACTGAATCTATTATGTCTTCATTTCTTTGGTTTTCTACAATGGAACATTTTAGGGCTATGCAAGCACATTGGATTCAAAGACGGATAAGTGCTTCAGGAATGTCTGCTATTTCTTAAAGCAGTTGTGTATTTTTTGGGAAATATGTAGTTGCTCCTTGTAAAAGCAGCAGCAGCAGCAGCAGCAGCATGATCTCAGGACAGGACAGATTTTGTTTAAGTTATTGCATACAAATGCCGTCTTTTTTGCTTTTGAATCTGAAGTGTCACATAGCTCTATAACATTTTTTTCCTAGCAGATATTAAGTCTGATTATCCAAAATTTGTGGCTGAGCTTTGCTGCTGGTCATTGTCAAAATCCACAAAGTCCCTGGCATCCATTCACTTTTTTATTTTTACAAATTACAAAAGTAAAAAATAGCAGTGTATATCAAAAATCTGTGTTTGTTTATCCAAATGTAATTATCGTAATACTTAATTGAACAGCACTTTTGTAAACATGATTTATAGTTATCTGTGTGTTTTTTCCTGCTTCTGTAATATAAGCACTATAACCTGCTTTTTAGTTTAACTAGTGCTATACCAGCTCAGGTTCTGTCAAGCTTCAAATTTCCATTTCAGTTACTTGACAATGGCAATTGTCAATAAAGCATTAATCCATTCCATACTTTTACTTTTAATGTTCCATTTTCAAAATGAATGAATTAACCCCACAATTTCAGCATGGTACTCAGGAACAGCAAAAGTGCCTGCTTGCCAACATATTTCTTTGGTTGCTGACAAAGTTCCTATCTATAAAGGTTGTTCTGGTGAAGTGGGATTTTTTTTTAAAAAATCTGTCCACAAGTATAAAATTCTTTTTCTATAAGGTATATTTTGAACCATGTATTGTTGTTTCCTGTGTCTTCCATTACCCATTATTGCTGTTTTGTTATTTGGCTTATTGGTATATTGGAATAAATCACAAATTCTACAGAATCTAGTTGATATGATATTATTTAAAGTGGTGTTCACAAAACTTCTGGGGTTTTGTATCAGAAAGTAGAAATAGGATGTCATTTTATGGATTTAGATAGTGGGAAATTTTGGAAGGGCTATCATGTTTCCTTAGAGTGGGTTTTTGATTTGCAAGAAAAGAGAGGACGCTCCTTGGTTGATTAATACACTTGTAACTATCAGATTTTTGAAGGATTGAGAAATGGATCATTTAAAAAATGTTTCATCTTTTCCTATATGAAAATTATTTGTTCCAATTTAAAAGTCCTCCAGAATTTATGACAATATATATATTTATTCTGATATTGTTGGAAAGGATGAAACAGTTGTGTTTCTCCAGTAAGCTATAGGGATTTATTTCCACTTATGAATACCATAATGTATTTGTGAGGGAGTTGTGACACCATAAGTAGAATACTTGCCATGTAGTCTTAGGCTCGGCCTAAGTGGAAGACTCCTTTAAGCTATATTGGCCATTAGTTATGTCCAGAAAAATGGTGTAAGATAACGAGCATCTTTATATGAAATCAGCTGAGATGGTACTTTCCATCCTTGTAGTAATTCTTCAAATTCTTAATTTCTTTTCTAAACACCAGTTCAATTTTAGTTGATGTAACAGACAAAAGGAGAAATTCCACCCCAAACTATAAGTGCTTTCTACTGTTGTAGTCATTAGGATGGAGATAGATAGTCCTTTTAGAACAACAGACATGTTTGGAATTTAGAGAACTGTTGAATGCTCAAAAAATGGCTGCCACGAGTAGGATGTCTTTATTCACCAAATGGCTGCCTAATTAACAAACACCCATTTATCAGAACTGGGAAGTCTTGTTTCTTCCTCTCTCTCCTGTTATTAATTCAGTGAGAATCTCTTTGCCACCCCAAATTATATTTTTTTTCTGGGTAGGAAAATTATTATTTCCAGCATCCACCATTTTCATTTTTTAAACAACAACTAGGAGGGTAGGTAGGACCGAGAGAAATATTAGAGAGAGGGGGAGGGGAGGGAGGGAGTGAGAGAGGGATCTCCAATGTTCAAAAAATACAGTTTGTCATATTAATGTCATTGTTGAATTTGAAATTCTATGATCACCTGTTTTTTAAAACTTTCAGACTTATTTATTTTTTCACATTTTCATGTATTTCTTGACTTAGTGTCAATGTTTCCAAATATAGTATGGTATGATTTATATGCTATTTAAAATTAAACTATTTCATGGTTTTTTTCAATCTTAAAAAATAGTACACAAAAAAGGCCTTGAGATTAAAAAACAGAGGAAAACTGTTTTCTGATGGGGTTCCCCCCCTGTTTTTTAGGGAAGGAAGATAGAATTCTACCTCTCTGTCCATAGCTTTTGCAAGATATGCTTTTTACAATTTTCTTTCTGTTACTATCGCATCTTCTATTTCGTTAATAAGTCAAAGTTTGAATGATTTTCCCCCCCAGTATATTGGATTATTGCTTTACTTGTAATTTTGTGATGTTTTTTCTGCTGCCGGGCACATTTCTTTCTTTTTAAAAATGTATATTTTATTGATTAATTTTAATATTTATTCTGAAGGCCTTTGGGTGGAAAATTGACCTAAAATGCTAATATAAATAAAACAACATTGCTTCTGAAATTGTGGGGAGTTGCAAAATCAGGTTACTGTATTGATGTGGGAACTTGCTTTAAAAAAAGGGTCAGACTTTCTATTGATAGGGTTGCCAGGTCTGTTTCCAAAAAATAGCGGACAAGCGGGGGGGGGGGTATTTAAGTTGTAAAAAAAGTAGACTGTACAGCTTTAGATTATGTACCATTTCATCATAAAGCTTTTGAATTAAAAAAATGTCCACTATTTTGCAAAAAAAAATAGTGAACATAATGTGAAAAAAGCGGACTGTCCACTCAAATAGTGGACACCTGGCAACCCTATCTATTGATAATCATTGATTTTAAGAAACTGAACTAAAATAAAATATACAGTATGAAATGTACAATTAACAATGACAAATGTCTGCCTGTAGGCTTATAATCCTAAATAAACAGACATAAAAAAGGATGGGAACAGAATAATACAATCAAATCTCTGATCCAGCTTGCTCAGTATTGTCTAATTTGTCAGCAGCTCTCTAGGATTTCAGATGCAAGATTTTATGTATTGATTTTATTTATTTGTTCATTTTCTGTATTTCCTAGGGACCTAGGTTTATCAGGGTGATTGAACAGTGAGTACACTAAGGCATCCTATATGCAAGAGTTGTACTATCATGGAAATGTGGGCTTTCTGGAGTGGAAAAACAGGAATAAGAAAATATGATAGAGAAAGAGAAACTCTTAACTTTAAAACAATTAATTATTGAATAATAAATATACTTGCCATGAGGTTCATTCTGAAGAGTGGGTAGAATATCTTTGTGCCTTATCAGAGTACAGTGGCCGATAGTGTTATATGCTGGGGAGAGGAAACTGCACCTATATTTAGTGGACGTGCTTAAATGAAATGTTTCTCATCTTTCCCCCCCCAGTCTGCTGGAAACCATGTTTCACTACACTGATGAACCCAGATTTACCATAGAGCAAATAGATCTACTTCAACGCCTGCGGCGTACTGGTATGACACGGCACGAAATCCTCCATGCTTTGGAAACCTTTGACCGTCTTGACCAGGAACACAGTGACAAGTTTGGGCGGCGCTCTGCCTATGGGAGTGGATCCTGTAGTAACAGCACCAACAATGTTCCAGCGTCTTCCTCTACAGCCACAGCTTCCACACAGACCCAGCATTCTGGGATGTCCCCATCTCCTAGCAACAGTTATGATACCTCCCCACAACCTTGCACTACCAATCAAAATGGGAGGGAGAGTAACGAGAGGCTGTCTGCCTTCAATGGGAAGATGTCACCTACACGTTACCCTCTGGCAAATAGCATGGCTCAAAGGTCATATAGCTTTGAAGCCTCTGAGGAGGACTTGGATGTAGATGATAAAGTAGAAGAATTGATGAGGTAGGCAAAGTTGTATATTATGGATCAAAAATTACCCATTCCCAGCTTCTTTTTCTTCCTGTTCCCTGCAAAAACACTTCAGAGTGTTGGATAGTTCTGAATTGGTTTGTTTATTTTCCCAGATCAAAACTTAATTGTCTTAGCCAGTTGAAGGGAGATCTTAGATCTTTATTCATCTGGTGCATTCTTCACAGCCTTAGTTTGGATTTGGATGATTATCTAATGCAAAAACTGACTTGGTGAAACTACCAATGAGTGACACTTCTGACATGGCAACTGGTCATTTAAACTCTTGAATGCATTGCTTAGGTGCAGAAAGGCTCAAGCATAACAGTTTCCTCAACCTAGTGGCTTTCAAGCATCCTCTATTACAGACATGTCAAACTCGTGATGTCGTGCAACGTACCGGGAGAGTTTTGCCATTACCGGCAATAGGGTGGGCGCAGCTTCCAGATGATGTGCCGTGGGCCAGCAGTTTGACACCCCTGCTCTATTAGAATAGGTCAAGAAAAGCTGTTGTGGGGATCTTTTTTGGTTTAATGAAGAAAATAGATACTTGAAAATAGAATTCTGATTGTAAGCACTGGGCTTGGAAGACAGTGGCTTTGTGTAGTTCAGCAGCATATAGGCCAGGACTGAATGTTTTTAAAAGACCCAATGTGCATATATTATTATATAAGCAAATAATCAGACATACTTAAGAAAAAAGCCCACATGTATGAGTCAGCCATAAAATAATATGTATTTCCTATAATTATGCAAACCCCAAAATTGAACTCAGCAAATATATATAAATTATCCAGAGTATCATATTTATGTACCTTAAAATATATTTTACATGGTTTATCTGATTTTGCCAGAATAAAGAGAAACAAAGAATTGAGGAAGATAACACTCAAATTTAGAATTACTTTTAAGACAACTGAAAGCATTACTGAAGTATGGTTTTTACTCAGTTATAAAGAATGGAAATTTAAAGAATTCTGATGTGCACAGAGTTATGGATATGACTTTTACTCTTTGGCCATGCAATGTTGGAACAGCAGATTTATATATCTATTGGCTGCTTCACCATATCAGTTACTAAAATTTTGGTCTGTTACCTCTTCTGTTTATTACTCAGCAAAGCATGTTTTCTACCCAGTGTCCATTCTCACAAATCCATTATAATTATTGTTTCATAGTGAATATTGTTTCCTAGCATTAAGAAAATGAACGGTTACAGTGATAATTAGGGTAGATTTAATAGTCTAGTGCAGATAGATTTATGAGGAGTAATTATGAAATAGCCAATTCTGTCTTCCTGACCTGTCTGTGGAGTTTCTTGCTCCATTTTGCTTCTCACTCCTACAGACACCCATGCATACAGATTAGTTTTAAGTTCAGTTTTGCACTGATGTGTGCAACGCATATACTTTAGTTCCCCTTAGTGAATTTCAGGGAGACCGTTCACCGAGTGATGCACGTATGTTGGTTATAGAAAAATGCTGATTGCAATGCCACAGATCTCCATACCAAAATAAAGAATATTTTAGTTAAACAGAGGTAGAAACTTCATTATTGGAATACCTGGAGAACTACTGTGAGCTTGATTTGGGCTGGACAGAATAATAATCTTATTTCATACAAAACAGCTCTAGGCATTCCACACCAAGTGGAAGATGGGGAAGAATCACTCTATATGTAACACCAGAAACATTCAAATTGTCCCTACTTCTAATACATTTAATAAATAAAACAAAGTAAACTCTGCCTTAATAATTGTAGCAATTTGCTTCAGGTACACTATCTGGTTCTTAAATCTAGGTGTTAATGTGGTTTGCTCTGATTTCTCTCTTTTTAGCAATATTTCCTTTGTGGAAGTCTCATTTAATGATAGAAATCGTTACTGCTGCCATTTCCCCTCCTCCCACCCCCAAAATGTTAGTTGCAGAGATTTATTCATCCCCTGTAATGAAACTTTGTACATTCCATATGGCTTGCATGAATTTATACAGACTGTGAGTCATCCATTTTCCTTGTATGCTTTGATCCACCAGTGACACTGATTAAAAGAAATGTCTGCTGGCAAGGGCAATATATCAACCCCCTCCCCACCATTCTCCACAAATGCATCTTCAAATTCTACTTTGGTCCTCTTTCTCTCTCTCTCTCTCTTCTCTTTTTATTTTTCCAACCCCACTCATTTTGATAGGAGGGACAGCAGCGTGATAAAAGAGGAAATCAAAGCCTTCCTGGCCAACCGGAGGATTTCGCAAGCAGTTGTTGCACAGGTTACAGGTAAGAGCTTGAAAATGTCCCCTTTTCTATTCTGAAGTGTTGCTACATCATCTTGCTCATTTGCTGGCTAGTGCAGGTGTTGGCATATTGCGTGGCTTTCTGCATTGCAGTACCTACCTGTCAGGGTAGATATAATATATGCCTTTGATTTAATATCCATTGTCATACATGTCATGAAACTTCCTCAGTGAATCAGTGTTTTTATTCCCCGTCTCTCATCCTGCCTAATTTTTCCTCAGCTTCAATGGCTCATGCTAGCAGGATTTCCCCCCTATAATATTGTAATGAGTATCAAGTGCTTTTAAAATGGCTTTTTAAAAAATTCTAAAAATCACATGTGGTGATCTTATTTCAGTGCAAAAAAAATGCAACCTTTGGACTAACTGATTTAAGGAAGACACTACCTCAGTTCTCAGGATATTTACCTGGAAAAGTTTTTAATTATACTTGGTATATTACATCCATAATTTGACCTTTCTACTTAAGCTATGTGGGTAATACTACTCCCGCACACTCTTGGTTTCTCATTGCTTACCTTTTACAAATAATCCCCTGTTTAAGAATGAATTCTGTTCCCAAGGTCTGTCCTTAAGTTGAATTTGTATTTAACCAGAACAGTATTATTGTATAATACTGTGTAAGTGAATATTGTGTAATGAACTTGAACTATTGTGTATTTAACTTGAATCATTATCTATTTAACTTAAATTTTGCTACAGTAGGTTGCAGCCTTAAACCAGTGTGTTCTTACCCAGCAACTTGCTCTGTTTGTAATAATCATATATAATAAAGATGCTATACAAATACAATATGCAGACATAAGTAGTAATTTTATAAGTATATTTATATTCCACCTTTTATTCTAGGATTTTAAGCTAGCATACATAGTTCTCTCTTGCACCCCATTTTTGTCATAATTCCTATCTAAAGTAGGCTGACGTAATGACTATCTAAAATGAACCTAATAAGTTTCCTGACTTTGCAGGAATTTGAATATTCTCAGTCTTAATACAACATTCTAACTATGTGAAACTTGGTTCTCCAAGTGGAGATTTTTTACTCTTTAAATAAACTGGTAGCCATTTATAAAAACACATTGTTGAAATAATTATTTTTAATCAGTTCAAAACTTCAGGAAGAGGAGAGAACAACTCCGTGCATCAGAGGCATTACTCAGTTGAGTACATGTTTTAAATTCAGATTTAAAGTCCAGTTCAATTTCCTGTACATCTAATTTAAAAGTAGCAGTGCTAGAAAAACCTCTCCCAATTAATGTAGGTGATACTGGTCTACGTGGATCAGTAATCTGACTTAGTAAATCCATCACTTACTTTGCTATTGATAGGGTTTATGTTTTGAGGAATCTCAGAAGAAGGTGTAATCCAAGAATTATCTCTAGTTGCCTTTGCTTGATTTTGTTGCATGGTTAGTTCAAAAGCTGACATACTATAAAACAAGTCAGAGAGCTTTGGTGACTAGTAGTTGGAGAGATTGAAATGAGATTATTGCTGCCTTCTGAGCTTAGAATTTTGATGACTGTTCCTTTAATAATGGTCCAAAGTTGCAATGGCCTTGGAAAAAAATGACTTATAATCCATCTTCAAAGTGATGACCATCATACCACCCCTGCAATTACAAGGTTGAATTCAGGCACTTGGCAACTGGCTTGCATGATTGCAATTTGCAACCTTCCCAACCAGCTTCTGACAAGCAAAGTTAATTGGGGAAGTCAGATTCATTTAACAACTACATGAGTCACTTAACAACTGTGTGATGCATTTAACAACTGTGGTGAAAGTGGTCACAAAATCATGTCTGGCTACGTGATGACTTGCTTAATGACTGCATTGCTTAACGATCGAAATTCCATCCCAATTGTGTAAGTCGAGGATTATCTATAGGCAAGCAGTCTGCTACTTTATTAGAATGACTCCCCAAATATCAGTGGTTAACATAGCTAGACTTATATTGAATATGGCCCATCAGCATTCCTTTTATGGCCCAGAGAGGCCAAAAAATTGTCCCAATTGTTCATTTTTGGAGGAATTGGGAAGATTTTAAAGAGAATTAAGGATTAACATCTGTAGGACACAGAAATAAATGCATAGGTATGTGTCAGGTATGTAGATATATGTATAATGTACATGATATATGCCTTGTGAAGACAAGAAGTTGTTAAGAGATAATTACTTATGAACAGTTGTGAATTTCAAATTTCCTTTTTCAAAGTAGTAGGGGATTGCACTGGTTTCCTTTACTCCAATTTCTTCACTTTTATTTCTTCCAAATCTCTTATTAACATATAAAATGTTACAGAAAAGAATAGCTGATACTATAGTAACTTAAAAATCTGGTTGGTGTTCTTCTCCAACAGCTTCCAGGATAATTTAGAAATCTTCAATTGAAATAATGAAGCAGCGCCACCATAGTTAGGGGAATAAACATGTGAGTACAGGTAGTCCTCAACTTACAACAGTTCATTTGGTGACTGTTCAGAGTTACAATGGCACTGAAAAAAGTGACTTATGACCAGTTTTCACACACTTGGAGCCTCCCCATGGTCACCTGATCAAAATTCAGATACTTGGCAATTGGTTCGTAGTTACGACAGTTACAGTGTCCTGGGGTCATATGATCATCTCTTGTGACTTGACAAGCAAAGTCAATGGAGAAGCCAAATTCACTTAACAACTGTGTTACTAATTTAAGAACTGCAATGATTCAATTAATGACTGTTGCAAGAAAGAGCATAAAATGAAGCAAAACTCACTTAACAAATGTCTCACTTAGCAACATAAATGTTAGGCTCAACTGTGATTGTAACTTGAGGACTTACTTGTACTAACAAGCATTCAAGCTGGATCTTGCTCAATAATGATGATGATGATGATGATGATGATGATGATAGAGTTGGAAGGGACCTTGGAGGTCATCTAGTCCAACCCCCTGCTCAGGCAGGAAACCCTATACCATTTCAGACAAATGGCTGTCCAGTCTCCTCTTAGAAACTTCCAGTGTTGGAGCATTCACAACTTCTGGAGACAGGTTGTTCCACTGATTAAAATCCATAATGTAGGGTAACACATAGGAAAACTCACCCAACTAGGTCATAGGGCTCCCAAAACTAAATGCAGGCAATGAAGGAGATAAATACAGGTAGTCCTCAGCTTACAATGGTTCATTTAGTGACCATTCAAAGTTACAACAAAAAGTGACTTATGTCTGTTTTTCAGTTACAACTTTTGTAGCATCTCCATGATCATGTGATCAAAATTCAAATGCTTGGCATTGGTTCACACTTACGACCATTGCTGTGTCCCAAGGTTATGTGAACATTTTTTGCGACCTTCTGACAAGCAGAGTCAATGGGGAAGCCAGATTCACTTAAGAACCAGGTTAATAACTTATCAATTGCAGTGATTCACTTAACAACTGTGGTAAGAAGAGTTGTAAAATAGGGCAATACTCACTTAACAAATATCTCACTTAACAACAGAAATTTTGTGGTCAATTGTGGTTGTACGTCAAGAACTACCTGTATAGTGTATATATATATAGAGAATCTATAATCCACCAGACTTTAGTCAATTGCCTCTCCCAGCATCTTTCATAATAATCCCTGCTTTAACTGCTAGAAATTGTTATTCACCATCAATTGGAGGACGATAGATTCCTTATCCCTGGAATATAGGATTCAGTCTAAGATTCAGAAGAATGACCCATAATAGGCTAACAGTATTTCCATGCCTGAAAATGGCCTAGATGCCAGCTATGGTAGTTGCAACTGATCTTCCTCACACAGTGTAGTAATATATCTCCAGAGTGATTTCTGCAAAAATGTAGAGTACTCAGATAATCTTTGAAACTTTCACTTTTGAAACCTTGTAGCTTATTTTGGTTATACGTTGCTCTTTGAACTTGTGATACAAGTGTGTAGAATATTTTTAATGCGTGTTCCTTGCTGTTCAGAAGAAGATAATGTTCAGTTAGGCCATAATTAGTGCCCTGTTTCCTATGTGCCAATCATGTAAGTAAATAATAAGCAGACTGTTTTCAGAAGTGAAGGCTTTATTGTTATATTCAAATTATTAAACACTTGAAGGTAGACATTTAGGCATTCCTAGTCAAATTTAATATTTCAGTGAATACCCAAGTGAACAGAAGCTGACACTTCCTATACATGGGGCATAGTTAAACACAATGTCTTTTGGCAGATTTAAATGCATATTTATTATTTATGTGCAGTTGTTGCAGATTCATAATAAGAAAGTTATGTGCAGAAGCTTGAACAGCTATTTAGTCAATGCTTTGTAATGCCTCTTTTGGCAAAACAAGTTTCCAAATACTGTATTACTTTTGGTCATTAAGATCCTTTCTATTCTTGCTTTGGAATTTTTGCCCCTCTTCCTTGGAGAGCTGTTCTAACTAAGAAATATTCCTAAGTCTCTTCCCTTTTTCAATAACAATCAGCTGTGGGGACTGCAAAGACCATTTCAAGGCCCTTATCTTTCTTTCCTTTAAGTCAGTGATGGCGAACCTTTTAGAGACCGAGTGCCCAAACTGCAACCCAAAACCCACTTATGTATCGTCGGGTGCCAGGTGGGTGTGGCCCATTGGCTGGGTGTGGCCCATTCGGTGGGCGTGGCTGCGGTGGTAATGGCAGACTGGGTGGGACTAAAAAGTTCAATCAATCAATTCCAACTTTGCAAGATCTTTTTTTTTCCCTGTGAGAAGCTGAAATTGACTGATTGATTGAACCTTTTTTTTTTTGCACACGGTGGTGGAGGTCTAAAGCGAAAAGGTTTTATAAAATCCAGCTGAAGGCCTAGGACTGGGGCGACGGCGCACGTGCCCAAAGAGTGCTCTGAGTGCCGCCTCTGGCACGTGTGTCATAGGTTCGCCACCACTGCTTTAAGTAATTCATGGTTGTTTTGGAGGCATGTTTTGTTGCCTTGGTGAAATATCCACCCTCTTTTTGTCTTCAGTTTCTTCACTGACTTAAATGCTTCATCTCTTTTTCTCTAAGTGTATGTTGTATAGTTGTGGTCGAACAGTTCAATCTTTGTTTTATCAGTCCAAAGCACTTTGTTCCAAAATGTTTCAAACTTATCAAGGTTTCCTTTTGCATATTTTAAAATATAATTTCTGTGGTGAGGTCAGAGAAAAGGTTTCCTTCTGTCAACTCTCTGATAACAAATCTTTGTTCTATAAACAACACTGTATTGTGGACAGATAAACTTTTCAGCAAATCATGATCCTGGGATCTCTTTTGCAAATCTGACAGGTTCCATGTAGCTCAAACAGAGATTTTTCTTGATCTTCCAGTTCTGCCTGGTTGGCTTCTCTGCCATCCTTTCCCTTCCTTCCCCATGTTACCAACCAATCCCTTTTCCTGAATGTGAAGGAGTGACAGGCTCTGAAGAAGATGATAAGCTGGAGCTTTTTTTTAAAGGAACATTCCACAATTTTAAGCCTTGCCATGCCAGTTATCCAGAATTTTCAGTTCTACTTTCCTGTGTACCCTTTTACAAATTGCCAAAATATACTTATTCTTAGTTACCTTGGAGAGGCTTTAGAAAGCTCTTTCCTGGCTAGATTCTCTCCAGTCCTCCACATCCAAACTGATTGAGTCTGGTCAGTTTCACTGTCCCCTCACCACTGAAGAGTGAGGAAAGAGGGTGAAATTTACCAGGAAACCTAGAGCATTTTCTGTTACATAAAAAACTCCGAGAAAAGGAAAAGTCTGCTTCAGCTTCAGATTTATAGAGGGCAGAAAAGCTTCATTCACCCAATAGCCCTGCATGAACATGATTACCAGCAAGGTGTCCTCAGACACGGCTGAGGACATCCTGTCACTGCTCATGAATAACATGGTGGAGGATAGTTCTGTCTTCTGGCTGGGACTTAATATCGGTAAGAGGAATTACATGCCCAAGCTACCAGTGGGCCATCTGAACTCTTTCAGTAAAGGAAGAGACTTTACTCCTTGACTACAATTGTTTAATGCTACATATTGTCACTGCCTACTAATCAAACGTGGCACAGGTTATAGAGAAGCTGTTCAGAAAATTTTGCTGTAATTCTTATTTTCTCCTTTGCAATGGAAATACCAGCCTTCACAAGGTTACTCTTTCCCGTAACCGAACTATAAGAAATGGAAGAAAATAGCTCACTAAAAGAAGTGTCCCGTCTGTCTGGCAGCCAATATACAACTGGCCATGAAGGTAAGGAACTCGGCAACCAGATCTAAAGAGTCAGTTCTGCAAAAGACCAATTGGAGCTCACTATATTGTTGGCCTATATATTATTGTTGACACTGAAGCTCCTCTTCCATGGATCATGAATTGGCCAGAAGGAGAGACTGGAGCCAGCATAAAAGGGAAATCACCTAGAACAGTCTTGGGCTGCTCTAGCATCAGGCTGGTGGCAGTATGTAATTTCTGTGTGAGGACACATCCTCAGTAAATAGTATCTATCTCTCTGCTGCCATCTTCGCTCTCTTCTTTCTTTTTGTATGGCTCCTCTATTCTTTTCTGCTCTTCTTTGCACCCTTTGAGTCTCTCTCCACTGCTAGAATACTATCCAACTATTCCACTTTTCCCACCATTTGTTTTCCAGATACTTTCTCTATCTGCATCCTGACTTCCAGCACAGGATCCCATCTTCTTTCTCTCTATTCCTGATCTTACTCTCCCCAAGTTCAGCAACGTATAAGAGAAGGGTTTCAAAGGAAGTTTGAGGAGTATAAACTGCCTTAGGAGGAGGGAGGATACGGAGGATTAGTAGCTATCTAAAGATGCCAACTTGGGTGCCAAGCATGTCAATGAACTATACCATCCAGGGTGAATTTTACCTACTTGTTTATTAGGATTTTCATTCAAAATATAAAGAGACATTCCTGTTCTTATTGATGACTTTCTTGGAAGGATTAAAAGTAGAAAATGGATAGAGAAAAAAGCCCCAAAAGCCATAAAATAAAAATATATCTAAATTAAAAAGGGACAGAGTTGGTATTGTTTGTCACAATTGTATGATTACAATTGTTTGTCACAATTGTATGATTACTTTCTAAAGGGGATCCTATGTAGAAGAAATCCTACATAGAACTGGTAATTTGGAAGCTTTGTTTTTCTTTTTAGAAACTATATTTTTGGGGTTGGGTTATGAGATAAACAAGACAGTGGCAGGCTGGGCATGGTGTTATTAATATACAGATAAGGCAAATGACAATATGAACAGCTAAGAATAGCTTGCACAGAACACTCAGTCATCATTCGGCTCTTTCTTTAGTGCTTGCTCCCTCTAGAGGTCAGATTGGAGCATAACATATGTTGGGAGCAGAAAGTGGGAGATAGAATTAGAGGTTCCGTTACAGGAATTCAGTGTAATCAGTGCCAAAAAGTGTTTTGTGCAAAAGGGATATTTTAGAAAACTATTTTAAAATGGATAGGGAAGTAAAATTTAAAATGAACATTGAAATATGCTTTAAAGGAAAGTGTCTCCTCAAATGTGAATTTTATAAAATGTTGAATCCTGTTCATTAATTATCAAAAAAGCTCTCCCAGTTCAGGCTCAAGATTGGGGGCGGGGAAGGGGTTGAGTGACTAAATAAACTTCCCCTTCAGATATGTGGGCTATTTATTATAGGAATTGTAGTCCTGAAAGATGGTACATTGTGGTAGAGTTCTGTTAAACTGACTATATTCTCTCTAATATAGTTTTAATTTCATTGTGAGTTACACAATGACAATAAAGATATTCTATTCTATTCTATTTTATTTTATTTGAAAATATGCTGAGATGTATTTACATGTGCCAACCCCTTATGTGTTTCTCAGTTTCCTCTTTTTCCCACTGCAAAATGTAAAGTCGGCATCTAGGAAAATATCCCCACTTTCTTTGTATGTGTGGGAAAGGGGCTGTTTGGCTGTTTCTCTCCCTGCATTTTGGACCAAGCCAGCGCTAAATGGTGGCTGGCTGCTGTTCTCTCTCTGGTGTTCCATGTGCCTGCTTTGCTCATTCTGACCAGTGCAAAATGAACAGCTGAGTGAGTCATTCCATTTCCTGGTGGACGTGTTCATAATGTCCTCTAAGCTCATATCTTGAACTCCCTCTTCCTCCTCCTTTCACTCCACCGTTCCCTATCTTTGCAAGCAGTCGGAGCAATTAATCACAATAATGTCATTTGAAAATTAGGTCTCTTCAACTTAAGAGCTCAAAGCTTTCTATATTAAAAAAAGGCTGTCATTTTTGTAATGTACAGTGTGTGTGTGTTCTTCCCCATAGACAGCGAAACGGTGAGATTACTGATTGAAGGAGGAGAGTGCAATCTAACCACTATAACTGAGAAGTGTAATCATTTTTATCTGCAGTTTCAGGTTGCTCTTTAAAAGCCTTTATGCAGTAGAATAGGTTGAGAGGTATGCATAAGTATGTTTATAGACCTCAGCACGGAAGTTTTATAATCACAGGAAGTTATAAGGTTGCTTTATCCCAGATCAAGCCCATGCAATCTTTTATTTACATTCCTTTAAACATTTTAATTCTGCTTTTCCAGTTAAAATTTTCTCAGCATATTTTTAAAGTCAGGTAATGGCAAACAGGCCTCTGACAGAGGTAGAGGACTTTTCCATTTTTTGCTATCTGAACTAAAGAATCAAAGGAATGATCCTTTGATGCAAAGCCTATACCCTTCTCTGCATTAAAGATTCCCAAGTACAGGAATTTCTGAGCTTAAAATGTATGGCCTCTGCAACATCAATAACACCAAACCAAGGACAGTCAAGCTGGCTGTTATGTCCATCAGAGTGATCAGCTAGTGGCATTAAGAAAAAGAAAGCAGAGGCAAAGGAAGATGTGAAATCATGAGGAAGCAGATTTGATAGCATTCTTTTGAGCAGTTCCTTCACAAGAATGGCAATAAACAAGATTTAGGCTGCACTTTTAAAAGCACTTTGTAAGGAATGCATCTTGCTAAGCAGAGTGGTAAAGTTGTGAGTAAGACTATATAGAATTGCAATGCATGTTTCGAGTTGTGTTGTGTTGTGTTGCAACAAATTTTATCTTCCATAAAAAATTGAGAAGATATATTGGATAAGAATTACAGCCCATACCCGCTTGAAACTATCCTGTACAGGAAATGCTTTAAATAACTTATAAGAAATGCACAAGCTTGTGTTTTAAGAGAAGGGCTCCAAAAATATGGGAGCAGCTTCAGAAAACAAGGCCTTATTCCGTTATTGTTTTTAACTCATGCTAGAGAATGTTTTGTCAGCAGATTTTAAAAATGGCAATATAAAAGAGTTGTGCTTTCAAGCACAAAAACTTTAGGAGATGGAATTGAAAAACATTAGCAAGAAAGATAAAAGAATTGTGTATTGTTCAATTGGTGGCATATGGAAGACAAAAACATATTATGCTAAAGAACTTAGTGACTTATTAATTATTTAGCTTGTTCTGTAAATTCCTGATGGATGGAGGGACAACTCTACTTTCTCAGTGGCTGCTCTGAAGCCATATTTCCTGACCACTGTCCCTTCTACAGTGTTCATAGTTGTTCTCCGCTTTCTGAGATGTTTTTAGATTTTACTATCTTGCCTTTTTATGTTGGAAACTTGAGATTTTCTTTCATCAAATCAAACAGGTATTTTCAGGAATTCATATTACAGGCTAAATGACAGGTAGATTCACTGAGCCTTGTTCAGATTCTTTGCAAGCAGCTTAAAGCATCTGTGCATAAGTATGTGCTTTGCTATTTAAAGAACACAATTGGCTGTATGGAAAGGAGATATCTGATGGTTGCTTCTCCCATGTTTCTCTTTGTCTCCCATGCAGGCATCAGTCAGAGTCGGATCTCCCACTGGCTGTTGCAACAGGGATCAGACCTGAGTGAGCAAAAGAAAAGGGCCTTTTACCGATGGTATCAGCTTGAGAAATCAAATCCAGGTAAATAAAATCAAGCTAAGATCATTTCTTCTAAACTATGCCTTTTGTCACAGGGCTGTGAGTGTTGTTGGCTTCTCCATGCTTCAACCAGCATAGAACACACATTCTCCCCATACTCTTTCCCCAGTCTCAGCTTGTCAAAAATTATTATTTGAAAGTGGCAGCTGAGGGGTTGGAGCACTTTGCAAATAGGCTTGACTATAATTGGGGTTATTATTTTAATTAGGCTAAGAAAATCTTTCCCTACGTCAGACATGTCAAACTTGTGACGTCGCGTGACATCGCGCAACGTATTGGAGCTTTTTTGCCATTGCCGGCACTGGGGTGGGTGCGGCTCCGGTATGATGAAACTGGCCCCTGGGCCGGCAGTTTGACACCCCTGCCCTACGTGGTGCTCTTCAGGTATGTTGGGCTCCAATTCCCACAATGTCAAGATCAAAAGTCATGTTGGCTGGGAATTTATAGAACTAAATTGCCACACATGTAGAGGAGACCAGGTTACAGAAACGTAAGCAGTTGTGTGTTTTCCCACCACTTTCTGTTTTAGCTCACATCCTTGATTAGTGGTAGCTGAGTGGCCTGTTGACTAGACTAATTAGCTTTTTCTGCAAGAACACAGTTGTTTTTAAGAAGAGAGAATGGCCAGGAACATTTATTTATTATTGTATACCTGCCCACCTTAAAACCAATCTTTCGGCAGCTTTCAGTGCAATAATTCAAACAAAATATATAGCTAAAACAAAAACAATAAAACAAAAACTAGGAAAAACAAAAAACCCTGGCACTGCAACCACATATTTCTCATGCAACCCATCACATTCTTGTCCCATTAGGACTTCACCTTATCCCATTGCTCTCCGGATGGTAAAAAGGGTGGCACCCTGTCAGATCTCCAGTGGGAGGACGTTCTATAGGGCAGGGGCCTATAGCTCTTTTGGAAGGCCGCATGCATGTAATCTACCCAGGTTGTAATTTTCCCTCTTAGTGTAGAGCAAGGAGAGAGATGGATGTCCTAAAATATAAAAAAATCAGAGTTGAAATGAAATTTGGAAAGGATCTCAATGGTCATATAGTTCAACCCTCACAGATGCAAGAAATCTATTATTGAGATATGCTGCCAGGTGGCCATGCAGCTTCTATTTAAACCTTCTAACAAATAAAACAACTTCTGACAACTTGAACTATTCAATGATAGAAAGAGAGCTTCAGAAGATAACATCCCATTCTTCACTAGAGTGCCTGAAGAAGATGCAGAACAAAAACTTGTGAAGGTACATAGCAATATGTATTATTGGATGGCTTTCAACTGAAGGAGATGAAACTTCAGTGAGACTTCATCTGCTTAATATTTCAGAAAAGAAATTCTTCTTGCCTTGAGTTTCCTTGTTTATTCTTGATTCCCAAACTTCAAAAAGCAGAGCCAAACAAAGCTGGGGGGGGGGAATATTGTAATTTAATGCCATTGTTTCTGTGCATTCCTTAATAAGATTTTTGGTAATTTTTCTGCAGTTGCATGATTTTCTTCTCTCAGCTAGTGTCCTTGCAATAGAAAAGTAGGGTGTCAACGCTGCTAACATCGGATGTTCTTGCTTTGACAACAGATGGAAATGCAGCCATTTTTCTCTATTGCTTTTAGAGTTAGTTGATGCTGGGAGGGGGAATGTGGATGAGAGCCCAGCTAGTCATAACAATAATAACTCAGCCGTGGGAACCCAAGGTCATTGGGCCCAGAGTTGATAGAGTTTTGGCAGGCTGGAGAGCTAATTGAGGAATGTGATTTATGACTGTTTATTGGAGGAAGGAATTGTGCTTTGTTACTTTGTATCCAGGGGAGGGGAATTTAGTTTTTGGTTTTGACTATGTAGTACCAATACTTTGTTTCTCAAATAAAAGATTCTTTAAGGTAAACAATGCCTCAAAGTTCTTATGAAGAGTTTCATCTGTCGGAAACATGACATTAGGTTCATTATATCTCCTCATAAGACAGGCGCAATATGAAAATAGAAATCTCTGTGTTGGCAATAGTTACATAGTATAGGAAATACCAAGATTTTTGGTGACAGTTATTTTTATGATATAAAGAACAGGAACTAAAAATTAATATATCAAACACTAGGGTAAAGAAAATTAAGTGAACAATTGCAAACCATATTTAAATGTTTAAAAACTAGAGCCAGTAGATAAAGTTGTATTTCTTGGTAAAGTATTTATGAAAGATGGGAAATGAATGGAGATATTCTAAGGCATGAAATTACTGGCAGAAAGATAGTGGGGTAGCATATAATTTATTGAGTCAAATGAATGTTGAAAGAGGTGAAAAAATGCTGTGTATAAGAGTTTGCTTCTGCTCATTTTGTTACGTGGAAGTAAGAGTGGGATATTTCAGAACAAACATAAAAGTAAATCAAATGTAATGGGAATGGTTACTTAAAAACATGTGTGGTAAAACAAGAGGATAAGGTCAAGAACATATACAGTAAGTGCTGAATGAATATGGATTGAATATGAAAGTGAGTCATCAGGGTGAAAAGAAATAGATTGAAATGATGAAATGAATCAGGATCAAATCACAAAACAAATACCTAACAGAAGAGTAAATGGGTTGAGAGGAATGGACAAACTGAGAAAGTCATGATGGGATGGAATTGATAAGAGAAGTGAAAAGTTTTAAGACAAAAAACAATGTGTGACGCAGTTTGCCAATGTGGTGAAAAGAAGAATGATTTTCAGGAAGAACTAAAAAGGCTTCTTGGATGATAAGTTATTTTTTTATTATTATTATTATTATTATTATTATTATTATTATTATTATTATTATTATTATTATTATTATTATTATTATTATTATTATTATTATTATCTTCAAAGGAAAACAAAGTCTAGTTGCCTTTTGAAAAATCACCTTTGGGACAAATATAGGGAAATACAGTGAATGGCTTTGATATAAATTAGATTAATCTGTATTTTCTTATTTCATGCCTTTATTTCTTTGACATACCATGGCTTATTTCTTTTCTGCACTTAGTATAATGCTACTTATACATGACAATAGCAGGATATGTATGAATATGGAGAGTTTGCCAGATAGTTGCTTTATTCTCAAAACTTGAAAAATTAAATTGCTCCAGCTTGGAGGTGTTATTGTCATTGTTAATACTGCTTTGTTTGAAGCCTGTCTCTTAGTTCCTGTCTGTATGCATATGAGGTTACCTTGCTAAGATTAAATTTTGGTTAAGTTGTTGCAAATTGTCTTTCCTTTTTCCCTTGGTAGGCATCCCATGAACATTATGGATTTTTAGTGTTGCATATCATTTTTGTGCAAAGATACAGTATAGAATCTCTGGACATTTGAGTTTCAATTATATATTTGATAAGTAAGCACAAATGACAGCCATCTATCAAACAGGCATAATTAAGAAAGACCTAGCACTCATGTTTAAATCTAAAAAAAGTATGCAAAAGGAAGAAGAATTGCTAGGGATGAGGGGAGGGAAACCCCCAAAACTCAGCTATTAGCTTTTGGTTGCAAAAATACTTATATAAGACACATCTTTGACCAATGTATAGGATCAGGTTGATAATTCTTTTATCATTATATGCTTTAGGAGAGCAAAAGTAAATGAAGTCTATAGATAGCTGAATAATAGTAAATTCTTTTAAGTATCTTTCCGTTGGAAAAATGCGTACATTTTCTCAGAATTTTGTATTCAGACTTGAAGGCTGCTACAAAGGTAGACTTTTAAGACACTCTGACAGATATTGCAGTACCCTTGTTTTGACATCCAGAATGTTAATTCATTTGCTCTGGCTTGATTAGTCTTATTGGCAAATAGGTAGCCGGGCAGCCTCTATGAGTCGATGAGTGCATAACCTTGGCAGCACTTTCCGTCTCTTTCTCCAGGTCATCACCAATTTAAGCAGACATAGAGATGTGATGGCTTTAGGCTTGCAGTCCAGACATAGCAAATGCTGAGCTTTCTCCTTGGGCTCTATCCCATGTTCTCCTTGTTTGAACATGTATGGTTTTGTTCTCTACAAGGGGAGGAGAAGACATTCTTCTTCCATAAGGCAGAAATTTGTTCAGTTTGTTAATGTTTTAGCGAGGCTTGAGTGTGATTCACCCTGTCTGGCCTACTATTTCAAAGGGCCAGGCTAACCATGAAAATAGAAATACTCCCTCCCACTCCCATTCTCCTATCAAACCCATTTAAACAAAGGTTTTAAAAGTCCCTTTCCTTGTGATTTTCCTTTTCAAATTTTGTGGATCAATTTTTTCCTCCCCCTGGATTTCAGGGATGGGTTCTAATAAGTTAGCTTCAGCATTCCTTCTAGTCCCCATGGAAATGCAGTGAACTTCTAAAGGAGAAAAAGAGTGAAGTTATGGAATAAGAAGTCAGGGGAAGGACAGTGAGCCAACAAAGAGATTCTGTGTGTTTCTTTTAATTTATATTTATATTTTGTCTAACCTGAGAACACTACCAATCAGCCTAAAACCCGCCCAGGGTCACTTTGCAGAGTGAGATGGTTGGCATATAAATTTAATAAATAAGTAAATAAATGGGGGACTCCACTTTGAAATGCATATTTCCCCAAGATATTGCTGCTTCTAAGTGTGTTGGACTATAATTTCCACAGTTCCTGTTCAACATTACCTTTATGGGAAATATAAAAATATACATCTGGAGGATACAAAGACTTGGATTTAATGTGTACTATCATCATTGTGGATGCATCTCTTTATCTTCCTTTAGGCTGCCAGGTTTCTGTTGGACTGCCAAGAAACTTCCAGAAGCACCCATTAAGAGTACATGGGCATTGGTTTTTGGAATAATGTCAGGATATGCCAGAGAAAAATTATGTTTAAGATCCAAGGCATATTGTAATAAAAGATTCTAAACAGAACTTATATTTTTCATTCTTTCACTATCAGTCAATATGGAGAAGCACCAAATAGCACTATTATTTTATTGGGGAATGACATGCAATTCACAAATGGTAGAAGAGAATGGAGAAGAAAGGGAGGGAACAAAATATATACTTTGGAGAAGAATCTTGACATATCACTATTTGAAGTCTGTCTTGAAAGAATGAATGAGGTAACATAATCAACAACACCATTTTTATAGAACTAGAAGGGAATAGAATAGTCACAAAAGAAATTAATGAACACATGAAGAATCCCATAGAATTCTTAGAAAGCTTGGCTACCTCCACATCAGTTCACATTTATAACAGGTATGGTTATAAATTCTTTTCTAAGCAATGGATTCATGATTAAAACACAGCTCCAAGTCTTATAATTTCAGATTTGACTTGATGTTTTGCCTGGGGCTTCACTTGTTCCCTTTAATTCCAAACTTTGAAACCACCATTGTTTCAAAGAAGCCTCAACTTTAAGTTTATAGTACTGGCGAAGCCAAAGGAATATGACAATTGTAGCAATGCAAAAAAATATATGGAGTTGGGGGAAAGGAAGTGACTTCAGTAGATAGTGCCCTGAAAACTGGGTTTATTTAATATCCATGTGACAATAGCTAATTTTGGTGGTGGAGGAGAGAAATTGGGAAAGTGAATTGGGAAAGTAGTGGATTCACTGAAATCCATATTAGAATATTTTGTTACAGATCTACATTGTAATTTTTGTTCATTCCTCTAATGTCCAAACTTTTGTCTGCTTTCTAAACTAAAATGCCATAATCCTATTGCGCATTTGCTTGTTTGTTACAAATATTTTTACAACAAAAATGAATCCTAACAGTTTACACAAAACTGGACGCCAACCTCAGCTAAGCGAAGGTTCCCCTCACTTTTGCTGTACTTGTTTTTCTAGCAAGAGTACTTCCAAGTTGTAGCCAGCCCTTTCAGGGGAAGAGTGACCCATGAAAATTGTTGGTAGAAGTAGCCAAGGAGAGTAGAGGAAGAAGAGAACAGAAACTAGAACAATGTTGAAATGGAAGTTGGAGGAAAAAGGAAGTTGGTGATGAACCCAGATGTGACTGGATCTTTGCTCCCAAAAAATGGTGCAGGCAAAAGGAATTGAACCGTGAATGTGTGTTCCAGCAGAGCTGCAGCAACTAGCTGTATACAAGCAGTGTGGTGGCTGCCAAATATCCTACTCTTTTCTAGCAAAGTGGGTTTTGGTTCTACCAGGCAGGCGTGTTTTTCCTTTTACAGGGAGTGGGGTGACAGAGTCATCACGTACTGAATTAAAAGTAGGCTTTGAAGCAGCAAAGCTTTCAGGGTTGTAGCCAAGTGATCTAATCTCTTGGCTGTGTTGCTCTTTTGCATGGCCATTTCTAATACTTAAGAGGAAGAACTGCAGAGCAGGGGAAACGTGTTGTGTGTTCAGAAAACAGACCTGTCAATAATAACTGATTTACATGGAAGCAGAAATATTGCTGAAGAAAATTTATAGATCTTGTTTTGTCTTCCTTTTTAGCTAAGAAGCATCTTTGAAATGCTTGTCTCATAGAATTATTTGTGTCTGTTACCTAGAAGCTAAATGGTACAGAAATTTGCTCTCTTTCCCATTCTGCTTTGATGTTCACCAAAAAAAGATTTCCAGAGAGAAGTTTTGCTTTTCAGAGCCTCCTTCAGTATTTTGCATTTGGCTACCAATACTTTATTTTAAAACAAATTTTGAAGCTGAGTAGATGAAACTGTAAATTTCACTTTTGGGCAATTTGTTTTGAAATGAACAATGAGCCAAAAATTTAGTTTTAGCTTGCAAATGTGTCCCTTCTTCCATCAAATTGTACACATTTTTATGTACATTCCTCTTTGTATACATATTTATGAATATGTGCATAAATACATAAATATATGTATATAAATTTCCTATATGAATTTATATGCCTTGAGTTGGTCAGCATACACATTTAATAAATAAATATTTCTGAATAGTTTTCAACTATTTTGCCCTAATTTATATGTTTGGTGGTTGTTTTAGAATTGTAGATTACATGACAACATTAAGAAAAATGTTGAATTTTGTGAATATTTGTATTCTAATTTGCAGTGTTTTGGAAATGCAGGCTGGATAAATCCATATAAAAGTTGAGATTCAGTACATATCATACACAGTTATATAAAGATTTCTCTTAATGTCGTTGGCACAGGTATTCACAACATCTCTGAAGGTTTATATCAAAAACATATATTCTGTATCTTCTGGGTTTGTTAGGCTGCTGTTAAACATGAAGTATACAAAACAAGAAACATAAGCATTCTGTAGTAAATATAGATTCATTTGAAAGTCATTATTAATTTGAAGTAGCTTGACTGTCTCTGGCTTTTTTAATTAGCTTGAATATCTGTGCTTTCATATGCTTAAATATGCTGTTGTCTAAACTGCTAAGGTGTTATTGAATGTTAATGAACATTCCAGCTGTTCAGATGCAAAACCCCAAATGCTCTGTACATTAGAGGGAGTACTTAATGAAAGGAGATGCAGACAAGGAAGGAGGTAATGCTGCCATAATCTTAGGTAATAATTAGTCTTTGTGTTTGGGTGTACTTAACAGAAGAGGGAAAGCATGTAAGAACTTCACAGGAATAGTCTCTAAATGTGAGGGGAAAAGAACACAAGTATCGCTTATACTTACCAGGCTACTTACAATATGTTATAAACCATCACACTAAATTATAGTGGTACAGCATGATCTGATGCATTAGAAATCCTGTGTTGGTAAGGCGTACTGGATAGAGAAACATCATGAAAAAAATACTACTTTCATGCCAAGATCAGTTTATTTTACCCGTGGGATCAAGTGTACCATCTTTGTTAATTGCTTGCTAGGAAAGCTAGGCTAACTAACAGTACCTAGAATCTGTCTTTCACTTATATAGTGACAGCCCCAGAATGCTAAGAATTTCCTTCCCACTACCCATCATATTTATAGGCATTCAGTCAAAAAATGCATGACTGTATATGTATGTGCTATTCCCAATCTCTAAATGGTAATGGAACCTTCTATTTTGGAATTCTGCATTGTAATATTAGCTGTTGCTTGAAAATGAGGTATCAGGAGATTTGACATGACAACTTGCAGGCTGTTGCACTGTTCTTTGACTTAATTTTCTTATCGTGAGCTTTTCTGTTATACACACAGGGCTGTGTTTCTCTTTACTGCTAGTTATCTTAATTTTAATTTCAGAGAAACAAAGTCTCATCCCACTGGGAGTTGCTCCCTGTCATCAGCCAGCCTGGGAAGAGGAGTGGGTGTTATTTTTAGTTCCTTAGGAAACATTTTGCTTTCTGCTTTGCTTTTTCCAGGGGCTACATTAAGCATGAGACCAGCCCCTATTCCAGTTGAAGAGCCAGAATGGAGACAGACTCCTCCGCCAGTCACAGCTACCTCTGGGACTTTCCGCTTGCGACGCGGCAGTCGGTTTACCTGGAGAAAGGAATGTTTGGCTGTCATGGAAAGGTAATATAGGAACTACACATACAGTAGATGGTGAGAGTTAGAGTAGACCATATCACAGAACCCTAGATAATTTTTTTAATTCTTTTTTTTTCACCTGCTGTTGTGCGCATTCAATGCCTGGATGTTAATTCTTTTTTAATCTGAAAAGATGTGAGATTTTTTTACTACTATTTTATGGTAAAAAGTTGTAACTTGGAGCCTCGGCAGGTATCATGCTTGGTTTATATCATTAAGGTTCCTTTCTTGATATAAATTAGTTCAGTGTTTCAACTGTTGCAAAATAAGTTTAGACATTTATTTGCAACCATACATTTTAGCAAAATTCATATAAAATTACAACAATCCATATCAATTCAATGCAACCCCTTTAATATTAACAGTACTATTTTCAGCATGTGCATTCGTATCTTCCTTGTGGCCACTGCAAACAATAAAACTTTTTTTGTTACATATATATCTAGATCAATCAGCAGGTTTGATTTTTTAATCTGATTTGATAAACCAAACTGATTCAGTTAGATTAACAAGGGTATATGAATCTAGCTCTAGGTTCCTGATATAACTTACAATGTAGTAATTAATGGCTCATATCTTCCAATAGTATTACAAATGCATAAAAATATGTATCCTTTATATCTTCCATCAAAATAGACTGTTGGCATTGTTTGAAAATGAAGTTATGTGAAAGCTTATCTCAGGGAATGGAATGTAAATGTAAACACCACATTGTAAATAATGTGACATTCCTTGTCCATCTTTAGAAAATCTTTAGAAAATTGATACCACTTTGCCATCTTAAGCTTACATGCCTGCTCTCTTTAAATCTTTAAAAAATAATAGTGTATGATAATTACTGTCATTCAGCAGTTCCTGATAATTATCAGTTCCTGATCATTGTGAAAATAGTTTTAGACACAAATTCATCCATTTATTATTGTTAAATTGTTCATGGAGATGCATAGCAGTTCTTAGTTGGTGGAGCAATTTGTCTGCGTAATTCTGACAATAAACAAGTCTAGAGCATTTTTCAATTGTTTAAATGACCATTGGCCACATGGGCAAGACTTATAACAATATCACTTAATGGGATTAGGAATAAGATTTTGGACTCCGTTTTCCTGGCCCTTATCTTGAGAGTGGAGAAGGATTAAAACAGTAATAAATATATTTAAGCCTCCTGAAGATTTAATACACCAATCTTCTTTTGTGGTTTTGTGATTTGATGTCAGTAGAATTAGAGGACTTGAGGAATCACAAAAAGGAAGGAAGGAAAGAAGGATGGATAGATGGATACTGGAAAGTTTATGGCCTGCTTACTTAGCAGGATTCAACCTTACTTCTGGAGGCAAGAATATAGAAATGGACAAAACAGTGGTGATGTAAAATGCTGAATGATTGAATGGTAGAGGATGGAAGGATTTATATTCCTCCATCTGGTCATGAGCACTCTTTTTGAGAGTCGTTAAGACCACTTGGAGATTTATCTGTGCCCTCAGGATCACCTGAATAGTGCAAATGGGTGCGGAACCTTCTTGGAACTGCTAAAAGGACTGTTGTAAACATGAGATAGGTGGTGTATCAGTCAGAACTGAAGAAGCTTCTTGGATGAAAAGTGAAACATCTTCAAGGAAAAACAAAGTCCAGTTGCCGTTTGAAAAGGCACCTTTGGGATAACCATGACCTGGATGACTGAGAATCTGCATAGGCATTTAGAGAAAGCAAGGTTTTATGTTGGAAATGTGCAATTTCCTGGCAGAATTTTGTGTATTCAGGATGGATGGTAACACTTCACACAATGTAGGGTGCATTAATGCAGAACCAAAAATTATTTTTCCTAACCAATAATCAGAGTTGCATTTTCCCAGTGCTCTGCTCATACTGTCCCTGATGGTACAGATTTCTACAAGTTGGCAGTATTTCTACATCCCACATAAATCATAGAAATGAACTGTTTCAAGGATATTTCAGTGTTTTTACCATTGTTTCACATTCTAGTCCAGCTCACATATTTTGGCCACTTTTCATTTTCATCCTTTACTGTCACCCTACACAAAAAAGATCATTTGATTCCCTCTGCAATCAGCCATCGCCATCCTGACGGGCGCCTTTTGTCTAGAAAGCACAATTGCATTTGTTGAAGGTTTATCCCCAGGCTTTTGTAATCATTCATTCTGCTCATCTTGTTGCTTCCTGCCCCCACCCCATCTACTTATCCATAAAGTACACTTTTTTTTTTTGCTTTACTGCTTCAAAGCATTCTGAGCCTAGTATAGTCTAATCATTTTTGATAGATATTTGGGAGTGGGGACAAGTTTAATATGGTGTCAACAGTCACATATCTTTAGCCTTTATATCTCACAACCTCTCTTCCTAACATTCAGAAAATGTTTTTATGGTTTTGGGTTCATATTGATATTGGCACTATTCAAATATTGATAAACCATATAATTTCTGTGAGTGGTATAAAAGGGCAGTTGGAGAAAATCTTCATAGTGGTAGGAATGGAAAAACATGATAGGCTTTTAACAGAAAGAGGGACAAACAGATTGTATCAGTCACATTTCAGACTTTGGTATTTGCATGTCTTGATATTCATTCATTCATTCATTCACTTATTCATTCATTCTCTGTAGTTATCCAGTCAACAAAGTGATTCTGAGATCTGCATGAAAATTGTATTTTCATATATTTCTAATTCATTTGCTTTGAAGACTAGTCCCTTGCAGTTTTCTTGGTGAGATTTGCCATTGCCTCCTTCCTAGGGCTGAGAGAGAGGGACTGGCTCAATGTCACCCAACTGGCTCCCACTTTCTAGCCTGATATCTTAACCATTTCACCAAACTGGCTCTTCTTTTTCATGTACATGTGTAATATTTTGAGCTAAATACTGTACTGCAACTTTAGTAGAAGTGGGAAAGATTTTTTTTTGTATGATGTGAAATTATTAGGTGGCTAAAGGGATGGAATAAGCAGGCACCCATGAGAAGACTGGGGAACACAAAAGGAGTTCTCAAACGTCTATCCCACAAATCACAAGAGTCAATGGAGACAAAAGCCAATCTCAAAACTGGGTTATAGTGGTTTTTTTCTTTTTTCCGTCCTGTGTTCTTTGTTTTTGGAAATGCTTCTCCATTCTCTCAGGTAATAAAAATAGGAAAAATGATACTTTCCATAGCCGTTAATTAATTAACTTTCTTTAACACCCCACGTCTGTTATTTGTAGCAGGAGCAGTAGGACTTCTGTGCACCTATATTAATATTTGGCTTAGTGAGAAACATATGTTTTATGAACTAGAAGTTCTGGCTGTCTTCATCTGTTGCCTTTTTCACTTCCCTTCATTCTGCCCTTTTCTTCTCTACCACTCCCCCGCCCTCCCCAAAAATTACTGGGTCCAGTGGGATAAGCGTTAGCAAAGCCAGTTGAGGCATAGCCAGCGACTTAACTCTCTGGATAGCATAGCTGGAGGGAACTCTTTTTCCATGTAACAGTTTCCCCAGTTTGAAAATTGTGGCACTAGTGAATGAGGGTCACTAAAAAGACACCCAAGGGACAATCCAAAATAGCTAGGAGGCTGGAGGGCTCTGGACCAAGAAGATGGAAAGGTTGAAAAAGCAACATGCAGATGGATTGAATTTTGCTGGGATTTGTCCTTGCTGATCCAAACTTCTAGCCAGATTCCTTGGATTAGTTAACAAAATTTGCACATTTTAAAAATATTAATAGCAATCTAATGCTTATTAGTTATGCCAGCACCTTTGAACTTACTGGAAGGCATGTACCTGCAATTTTTTAAAATTTATAAACCGCCCAGTGTCACTTGGATTGTGAGATGGATGGTATCAAAATTTGATAAATAAATATTTCTCAGTGAGGAGTTGAATAGAATTCTGCCTGTTTTTACTTAAATCTTAAAAAAAAAAAGAGGAGGGATCATTTAAAAAAAAAGTTTCCTTACCAGGATAATTCAGACAAGCAATTATTCTTCCACTAGCAGGTCAAAATGATTTTATTGGGACAAGTTTTTGATGGGTCAGCTAGAATGCCTCCTTAGTGGGCTTTAAGTGGGTGGGCAAGGGTTGATTTTATTGATACATTTCTAATGGTGCATTATCAGTGTTTTGAAATTGGACTTTGTATTTTAGACTTTTGATTGTTAGCTACTGTAAGTAAAAGGCTGGAATATAAATTCAACAATATAATCCAGAAATGGATTGAAATATCCCAGAAGGTAGAAAGTAACCCATGCCTCTAACTTGGTCTTGAGGTTGGACAGATCTATGTTCTGATAATGCCATTTAAGACAGGGATCCCCAACCCCCAGTCCATGGACCAGTACTGGGCCACGGCATGCCAGCAACCGGTCCACACAAACAAGGAAAGCTCCAGCCACAGGATGCAGGCAGCACACAAAACGATGCCCCCTCCAGTCCACAGAAAAACCTCTCTCCACATAACTGGTCCTTGGTGCCCAAAAGTTTGGGGACCTCTGATTTAGGGGTTTGCAAGGCTCCATGCCCCAAAAATTTGTACATCAGAACCTCTAAGTAATTTTTAATAAATCTCACCAGCCTAACTGTTAAGTGGTCAGTTATATGTTAGCACATATTTTAGCTCTGGAGACACATTTCCGCCTTCTTCCTCACATGGATATTTATGCATTTGTCCATGATGAATGTGATGGCTATTGTCACATTTTGCTAGTAACATTTGCAAATAATGTTAATTCATAATTTGTAAATCTCTTTATAAGACCTGATATAAATCATGTTTAATGGTGACAGTTTTCTTAATTCTCTTTATATACCTATCACTAGCAGAATTTCCTTTTGAAAAAGAACTTGAAGTGCTTCTGGTTGCCTACCTCTGACTTGAACTCTGACCATTGGCTCATATGCACTATAGTTCTGATTCAAAAGACAAAAAGCATTGGCAACTCTTTAAGTCAAATGTCTCTCTTCCTGGGATTATCCTGCAATGATTCCAGAAAAAAGGCAGCTGCTTTAAGGAGTTGCTGACAGGTGTTATATGGGCATTTCCCCCCTTTCAAATCCGAAGCACTGAAGAGCATTATTCTTCACAGCCCACTCTTCTGCTGAAAAGTTTAAACAAGTCTGTTTCATATATTCAAAAATGGTGATGTTTTTTTCTCTATACAGGGTTTCTTAAAGATTTGTGGCTTGAGTTTGTTGTCTTTATTTTGTGTGGGTACAAGGAATAGGATTTCTAAGATGAATACACTCTCTTTGTTTCTGTAGCTACTTCAATGAGAATCAATATCCTGATGAGGCCAAGAGAGAAGAAATTGCAAATGCCTGTAATGCAGTTATTCAGAAGCCAGGTACACAAGGAAGCCAAGAAGGAGATATATTGCTCCCTTCCCTTCCCTTCCCTTCCCTCCCCTCCCCTTCCCTTCCCTTCCCATCCCTTCCCTTCCCTTCCCTTTTTTCTCTTCTCCCCTTTCCCCTCTCTCTTAATATATATTTTGTCTCATTTACTTAAACATATTTTTCCTTATTAGTTCTAACTCAGTCATCCATGCATGTGTTAACACAGAAACTAGACAAAATGAAAAAGAAATACAGTACCCAAATATGCTGTCAAAGGCCAGTTACTGTTTTCAAAAATGACCCAATGCATTTTCACTTTCAGCAGTAATCTATCATCTCAGGAATATTTTCCATTTAAATTTAAAATTAAAATTAAAAAAATTAAAAATGGAAAGAAGAAAAGAGATTCGGCACGTGGGGAGAGAGAACATCCGGTTTTTGGGAGTGTTTCAAAACAGAAAAGCCTTTTTGAAAGAGAACTGTGAAGCTCAAAATATGTCAAGCCATTTTTTTTATTAAAAACCAGAAGGTGCTGAATTAACAGTGTTAAATTTCTTCTTCTTATGCTATAGTGTTCATCTGTTTCTACCTTCAAAAGGGCAGAATATATTTTTGGCAGTTGCACTGACTAATATCCAGCAGGGTGCTTCAGAAGGACAAAAAGTAGGGTGGGATTTAAATGTTGCATGTGGTTGTGAAAATAAAGTAGGGTGAGCAACGTGCGGTCCTAAGTTTCTTTTTGGAGGATCTCAGAGCTGCTGCTGTTTATTAAATTTAGTGGGAAACTCAAGAAGACTAATTTAAGCCCTAAAAGTCCTGTCCTCTTCAGTCCTGGGTACTCTTACATGTGTGATGTGGTTATACTCACTTTGTACTCCACAGGTCTCCAAAAACTATTAAAAGGGCTTTTAGGTTTGGGTTTTATTTTTTATTTTATTTTTATTTAGAAAATAAACTCTCATATGGTTTGGGAAAACCATCTCCAACATCCCTTCCAACTCTGGTATTCTATTCTAGATCCTGTGCTGGAACTACTAAAAGCAAGTATACCAGCATGTTTCTTTTTTTATTTTGCACAGGAAAGAAGCTGTCAGATCTGGAGCGAGTTACTTCCCTCAAAGTGTACAATTGGTTTGCCAATAGAAGGAAGGAAATCAAAAGGCGAGCCAATATTGGTAATGTATCAGACAGCCTTGAAGAACTGCTGAAGAAAGATGGAACATGATTGACTTTTCTTAACAGGAAAACAGAGTCTTGATAATATTTTTAAAGTAAAAGCTTGACAACATGGTCAAAACAAATTTTCTCTCTTCCTTTATTATTACTGAACAGTTCATCAATGTTAACATGTCGCCAAAAAGCATTGGTATATGTGTATAATAGCATCTTTAAGTCCCTTAGGTGAGGGAATTTCATCATGCCTTTCAAGAAAACCTAGAGATTTCCTGTTTTGTTGGAAACTTCTCTGCACTTGCTCTGATGAAAAGATCAACGGATGAAGTATATTTAGTCCACCACTGTGATTATCTGGGAATGTTAGGCCATAAAATAATGAATTTTAATATACTTAGGGTGGCAATAAGGCCCAGTAGAATAGTAAGTGCTACATATGAACTCTAAAACATACCTCAAAATGTTCTTCAATGTACCACATTGCTTGGGACCAACAATTTGTGTGAAAAGCTTTCCTTGTGGTTGGATTATTTTTGAAAAACCTGCCTTATTTCTCCCAGTGTCCTCAAAATGAAGCAGAGACTGTTCAAGTTATTGAACAAGTTTGTATGACACATAAATCTTTATAAAGCTTATCTTAGCCTGTTGTCCAAATCTATTCTAGGCCAGGAATAACTAAAATATTCCACATACGTATGATCTGAAACTGGTTTACGTTTTCATGCCTTGACTGTAGCTCCATGTTCCATGCAAGTGGAACAGAAGCAGGTGAAGCAATGGATGCTCCCCATTATAATCTCTAGACATAGAGTTGGCTGGCAGGAGTAGTAGCATTTTTGTTCCTTCCACCTTAACCGTATCTCCTGCAGATATTTAGTGAATTGGTAAAATTGGACGGAGGAAGGATTAGTGATAACCATGTGCCGGTGAAGCAACCATCGGCCTATTTTGGGTTGCTGTTGCTGGTTAAAAAAAAATTAAACTGGGGAGTGATGGCTGCAACAACAGCTGGGCAGGAAGAAAGCTTTGCATAATTGTTTGCTGAAGTCCCCATGGGTATGTCTCATACAGCTGATTACTCTCAACCATATACTGATGTGTCTTCTGATTAAGCCCTTCTGATGCCACGAACAGTGGCGTGTTCCCATCTCTGTCCCCCAATTTAGTTTTCCTTCACATCCTCCCTCTTTATCATCTCACCACAGTCACAAATATAATACCATACAGCGCCTAATATTCTGCTAGAGAAAATAAATATTTAAAGAAAAGTCCTCACTTTAATTAGCATTTCTTGTATACTGATAAATAATACAGGTATCCAGCACTTTCCAGAGTTTGAAATGCTTTGGATATAGAATAGTAAATAACAAATTACAATTTTCTAACAAATTATGCAGAAAAGGAGCTTTAAATGTGCCTATCTATCATATAAAATATTTAACATATAAATGTGCAATTAATTACATAAATTAATTTCTTTTTGCTTTGAATTTTTAATTTGTGTATCCTTTCAGAGAAAAACCTCAAGTATAAATCTTCCCTCAGATTTCTGAACTTTTTTAATAATTTAAGAGTTCAGGTTCTTCCAGTGAAATTGACTGATAGCAGATTCAAGAGAGAACAAACAACAAAAAGCAAACTTTTGACAATTTAACACAATACGGTGGTTGACCCAAAATTACATTATTTTTCATAGGGTACAAAACCAAATAATGGAGCAGAAGAGTTTTTATTGGCTGTTAGCTGGAATGGTGATTTGGAATCTGCAGTTTTAGATGCAATGTATTTTGAAATGCCAGTTGCTGAGGGTTACAACCACCAGAGAAAAGCAGTGCCTTTCAAGTCCTGCTTGTGGACTTCCTGGAGGCATCTGTCTCTGGCCTTGTTGGAACTAGAATGCTGAACTAGATGGACCTTTGAGCTGATCCATGCAGGGAACTTCTTATGTTCTTATACTTCCTTAGGATGAGATAGCAAGCTGGTCCCTGGGAAACACACACACACACACATCAGAAGGAAGCTGGCAGATTTTGTCCATTAGCATGAGAAAGCCAAACACCAAACAATGGTATGGATAGCAGACCAATAAAGTAGGATGAGTCTAAGATTCTTTGTAATCTCACAAAAAAATAGTGAAGCATCTTGTTATGTTCATATAACTTGTGAGTTTCACCCTGGAATATTTCTATTGCAAGGGACAGGCATTGCAAGCTCTGCAGTCAAGGGATTGGAGCCAGCTAGAAATCCAGTTGGGGTTATAAAATATTTTCAAAGGCTGATGACCCTGGATAGAAACTGATTTTTTTCTTTTAAATTGGCATTTATACTCCTCCAACCAAATTCATTTTCCTTTTTTTAACAGTGCAACTACATGCACAAAAGAGGTTTGCACCATATTGAAATGAAGATGAAAAGGGGACTTCACTTAGGGTGTGGGTTTATTGTAAGAACCATCAAGCCAGAATTAAAATTGCAGAAAAGGGATAGTCCCAATCACTACATAGAAAATAAGAGAGGGAGAGAGAGAGAGAGATGCTGCTTTATTCCTTTGATTATGGTTTCACTAATCAAATGTGCATTTTGTCCCTTTCTTAAGAAGGGGCTCCTAAATGCAAACCTATTTGGTAGGACGAGCTCCATATGTGACCTGATTCTACAGGAGTGTAGGAAGAAAATCCAAACCATGATGCCAGTTGCAGAATGCAGCTGTTGAGAATTGCTGTTTTGATTTAGAGGGAAAGTTTCCAGTCCTTATGAATCCATAAATAGCATTTGCTGAAATCTCTAAATTTAAAGAGGCAGTCGTGAAAGATATTTTAGTATCCTGTAAAAGACAGTTGCTGTCCCCCAGCACTAGTAAGACCACAGGAAATTATATAAAATCAGAAGTTATCCAAGCCTATATGAGAAATTCTGCAAATTGGGTAAATCTATGTAGCCACATTTCTTTGGCAGAATTTGGCTTGCAGAATTGATTTTTTTCTTGTTGCTGAATTTAAACTGAAAAAAAAAATAGTTCTGAGTATTTCTTTGAGGTTCTTACAAGAAACAAGATACCCCGCTTGTGAGGATTCTGGTTTTTCATCTTCATCCTTATTGGTAACCCTGCAGCAGATAATTCAGGGATCAATTTGCTTTTTTCGAAGAAGCAGCAATCCTGGAGAGTCATGGGATAGATGTACAAAGTCCCGGAGGCCACTCCAACAGTGACGACGTAGACGGAAATGACTATTCAGAGCAGGTAAGTATGTGAGCTAAGTCAGGGGGCTCCAATATGGAGAGTCCCCCTGTAGGCCACTCTTCCTCCTCTGGGTTTGGGGGTGGAATGTGGAGTGGTGGGATCTTTCATCCTTCAGCCTCCTAAGATTATGTGGCCTTTTATCCTGCTGTGCAATGGGGGGAGGCAGAAAAACACAGCATTCCTCTCCCCCCATGGACCAGCCTTCACCCACATGGATTTATTGTCATACAACAGGAAACTTGGCAAGTACGCAATGGGGAGGAGGAGGGAAGATGTACAGAGGGAGGCAGAGAAGCAGAGAAGTTAGAAGAAGACAGGAGGATCTGCTCAAAACAAGCAAGTTGACACTCTGTTCACACATATTTGCCAAATGCAGGGGCATGATGAATTCCCCCAATTTGCACCACCATGCATAGTAAACACCGTGTCTGTTTCTCTCCTGTGCCCCTGTAACCAGAGCTGTGTGTGCATCCCCAGACATCCTTTTTGAAACTCTTTTAAGAATGCGTCCTTTCTGTCCACACCATTCTGGACTGAGGGCAGATGTGCATGGTCAATTTAGTGATGCTGTTCACTGAACAGCCCATGAAGTATGAGGAACAGCAGGATGAGCCAAGCATCTCTCCTCCAATTTGATGAATCCTCTTTCATTTTTTAACAACTATTATCTTTTGCCCTCCGATGTCATTGTTTACGTAACCTTGATGTCCATGTCATATCCACCATGTACTCCTTGCAAAAAATTACAATTCAGTCTTAGAAAGAAAATAGTTAATGATTCATATCCACTTGCTTAAGTTTCAGTATAAATTTCTGAATCACACATTTGATGTGGAACACACAGCCCTGCTTATACCATAAAGATCTACAAGTCTTACTCTCTCCTTACCCACCCTCCCCACAATGCAATGAATGCATAGCTGCATGCTCCTCTTCCCAGAATTGAATGCATTGATGTAAATTGATAATATGGCAGCTCAATTCCAACCAATAATATTCCATCTAACCTCCTGGTGCCAACATGTTTACCTTTTTAAGGCAGGATAAAGCTTTCTTCATAGTTTGTCCCTGCTCTTGAGATACTATTTTAAAAATTGCTTTTATTCTTAGGAACATAGGAAGTGCCTTTCACCACTGGTCCATCTAGCACAGTGTTGTTGAAGTACTGGTTTACAATGATATTCTAGGTCTCACTTATTTTCCCCTAACCATTTCAGGAGATGCTAAGGCAGTGTTTCTCAACCTTGACAATTTTAAGGCATGTGGACTTCAACTCCCAGAATTCCACAGCCAGCATTGCTGGCTGTGGAATTCTGGGAGTTGAAGTCCACATGCCTTAAAATTGTCAAGGTTGAGAAACACTGTGCTAAGGCATGAACTTGGCACTTTTGGCATGGAAAGCAGGTGTTCTGCCTTTGAGCTGTAGGGCCTGTACATTCTTGATAGGCCATAGCTATCATCCAATCTTCACATTTTGTTGTTTCTTTTCCCCCCTCTTTCCCCCATACTTTCTGTTAGTTTATGCTCTTATTTTTAAAACTACTCTAGGTACATTTTGGTAATATAATTATATGAAATGAAATTAAAATACTTTTCTTTTTAATTTCTAAGGGAAACTGATTGCTAAAGTGGAAAATAAGAGGATATTAATAGAAAAAGAGCTCTCTCACAGAAGAGGCGCTTCAACTACATTTCATGTTTGAGTTAGACACATATAGTTCTTGGCTGATCGTTAAGACAAATACAACAGTTTGATGATAGGGCCAATTATTTAGAGTTGTGACAATCCCTTTGGTTTTCTTCCATTGTTGAGAATCTTCTAGCTTTGTGGTTCCTCCATTAACTAGGTCAGATCAGATGGCATTATTGTGATCAGTGTGTTTTTAATGGAAATGATATATTTTGCACATGAAACATACTTTTTATTTCTTTGAATGTTTTTAGTGGAAATATGGAAAATAAAAACAAATAAAATATAAGCCTTTAACTTGAATATGTAATGAAGGCAGTTAGGAAGAAATTAGTCATCTATTGTAATCCAGCTTCTTTGTCTGTAATTTTTCTGTAGTCAAGTTCTCACTCAGCTAATCAGACTGACAGAACTTTAATCTTGTTAAATATGCCATATATTGGGCAGCCATTGGGTAAGAATGTTCTAGTTCTGGATTTATTGTTTGAAGCAGGGTATACGTTCAATAGGTTGGTAAGGCCATATCCAACTCTCTGTTTCTGTACCCTTTTTGTAAATCTAATTAAGACTACAAGCAGAAATCAATTATTGAGTTTCCATGGTTTTTTATTGTTCCTTCATGAGCTCATGTTACACTGCCTAGTAATTCATTCTGGTTCTAGTAACCTGGTGACCACATTTCTCTTGTTTATATGTTAGTCTTGATCAAGATGAGGAAACATTTTTTCTTCATTTAACGAGACACACGCAGATTAAAATTACAAATCCTGCTGGTAAATGGATTGTTGGATAGAACATACTGTAGAACTGTCTCTGATGTTCTCTCATAGGATTGAACAAGAGATACAGAGCCCACATGAAGATGGGAAATATCAGTGGTTAAATTCTATCAAATATTTGCTTGTAGCGTTTAACAGAAAAAAATACTAATGAGATGGATGGGAGGGTGGGTTGATGGATGAATTAGGATCAGTTTTTTCATCTAAAATCATGTTCTTTTCTTGAGGGTTTTGGAATAATATGATGGGAGATAATATTGTATAAATCTCAATAGAAGTAATACTACTTCTTAACCTTTTGATTCACATCATTCTGTATTGGAGAGAGCACATATAAACCTTTTAACAATATCACCCCTACTTCTCACCCACCCCAGTATTTAAAACAACATGTTTATGCACTGGTCTGTTTAGTTTACTCAAACTTCACCTTTCTTAGGTTCAAAATAGAGAAGACAACAATGATCACAGAATCTAATTATGTTCAGATTTGAAGACCATTTAGAAATTTCAGCTGGTACAGTATATTATTTGAGGCAAAATGATCAAAACAGGTAACATCTATTCTACACCAGTTGAATTTCTGGCTCCAGTTCAAGGTTGGGTAAATCAACACTTCAGCTGTGGTATTAGCGCACATATTCAGAGTCAGAGTAGCAGTGTGTGGAGGCTTTAACTGTATTTCCTTCCCAACACAAGTAAATCCAGGATTTCTGGTAAAACTTGCAGGTACCTGATATGCTTCTCTCCATCCATTACAACTTTATTGCTGATAATAAGGTTCTTTTAACAGTTGGTTTGGCAGCAGCTATGAAAAAGCTCTATGATTTGTCATTTAGGCATGAGTTAACTCTTTGAGTCATCATATGTTGAGAAGCCAGATGGATATATTTTAATACAATGAATATGACATTGGGAAAGAATAACAGTGGAGATGAAGGAGAAGAACCATGGGCACTTAAAGCCTTTGAAAGCTGCCTGCCTATAAACTGCAGGCAGACCATCCACATAGTGGACTTCTTCCTTCCTACATGAAGCCAAGCTGACCTGTTCAGAAGGAAAGCACTTCTTAGAGGGTGCCATTTTAACCAACAAGCTATAGCAAGTCTTTCATCATGGTGAGGAAAATTAACTTTTCTCTCATGCTGTGTTTTAAAGAGAATTAAGACTTGGGAGCAGGTGCCTTATACAATTTTCTTAATTTATTTGAAATGACACTTGGGTTTTAGATTATGTTCTTTTTTTTTTTACTGAAAATACTCTTCTATACTGTAATTTCTTTTGAACAGTATTATGGAATATGGTTTGAGAGTTTCTTTTATAATCATTTGAATGTGTCTATTGTCTTCACAGGCTCATTAGCCTTTAAGACTATATATACATTCTTAAAATATATTAATTAAATTAAGCCATTTGCTGCTGAACACGTGCTGGACTGTTTCATTTTTCTGTTCAGGTTTTATTCTCTATGGCTCTTTAGAAACATAAAAACAATTACAAACTAGTACAAGATAGTGTGTGATGCAGTTGCTATAATTAATTTAAGGTAGATTAATAGTTATAACATTTTAATTCTATTCTTATGTGAATGTCAATATTCCACAAACACAGAACTAGACCATTGATCCCTCTAGCTCAGTATTATCAACACCTGCTTACAGCAGTTAATTTTCTAGAGTTTCAGACAGTTTTTTAAAAAATGTTGCATGTGCTATGCCACTGGGCTCTTGTGCCTTCATATATACTTGGCTACTACAAATGTGAGCAATGAATAATAGATTTTTAAACTAGAAGATGCTTCCTTAAATATTTATTAAAATATTATTTATACATTAATTAGAATGTTTATAATAATAGAAATGCTTGGAAAAGTGCATGTGTAAAATTTACATAGTTTGAATTAGGACAGGCAACTTTGCCAGGGCTAAGAAACACATTTTACTTTGTGTGGAAGCTGCCTCTAAGAAAATGGGTGGAGCTGAGAGAAAACAGAATTGGTTAAAATATTTTTTAAAAACACCCTTTAAAGCAGTGGTTCTCAACCTTTTTAATGCCGCGACCCCCAACCGGTCGTACACCGAGGACTAAACTGGTCGTAAGTCGAGGACTAAACCGGTCGTAAGTCGAGGACTAAACCGGTCGTAAGTCGAGGACTTTCCCTGCCCGGGAGCGCCGCGCATGCGTGGTTCCGCCCCCTGTGCCGGCCGAGGCGTAGCTGGCAAGCCGACCACCAGCTGGTCCAGCTCAAGGGAGGTAAGGCACCCGCCGGAAAAGGGGAAAAAAATGTCGGACAGCCTTGCTTGGCGACCCCGGTGAANAAAATGTGATTTTGATGGAAGTAAAGAATCGTTTTGGCAGAGAGTGAAGTGAGCCACAAAAAGAGCTTCCAGCAGAATGAATGGAATTAAAAATAAAGCGATGAATCAGTTTAGGATGAAACTGAAGTGAGGGAACGCTAGAAAGAGTATTCCAAAGGTGCTTTTTCATGAGGCAACTGGGCTTTCTTGTTTTTCTTTGAAGACGTTTCGCTTCTCATCCAAGAAGCAAATTCCCCACCATCCAGTCAGAGCTGAAGAAGCTTCTTGGATGAGAAGCGAAACGTCTTCAAAGAAAAACAAGAAAGTCCAGTTGCCTTGTGAAAAAGCACCCCTGGGATAACTATGACCTGGATGACATTTAGCTAGAATGAGTAATCTAAATATGTGAGTGGGAATGGTTGTAATACAATATGTCAAAGAGTTTGGGGGAAGGGGAGCAGATATTCCTGGAAAGGAAGGGCAAAGAACAATGGGCCAATTTGGTCTAGTGGCTAAGGCACCAGGCTAGAAACCGGGAAGCTGTGAGTTCAAGTCCTGCTTTAGCTATAAAAGCCAGCTGGGTGACTTTGGGCCAGTCATTTTTTTCCTCTGCCTTACAAATTTGTTGTTGTTGTGGGGAAATAGGAGGAGGAAGGAGCTCCCTTGAGTTATTTGTAAAAATAATGGAGGCAGGATACAAATAAATAAATAAATAAAATGGCAGTGGATTCCAAGAGTATAAACTCCCAGTGGGGTCATCCAAGGTGTGAAAATCATCTCAGCTGCCCAGCTACAGCAAACAGCCATGATAGAGGAATTTCATACTGCGTGGGAAAAGACAGTGGTAGATGACTCCTATATTTTACCAAGAAAACCATATGGGTAGACAAGATAAAGGGATTGCTGGTATTGATATACTGTAGTACTGGGTAATGGGCCTTCCGATGGTACTCAACATGTGGCTGGACAGATGTGATTTGAGTGTGATTTGTTGGATATGAATGAATGAAAACTTCATCTGTGCCTGGCAAGTGGAAGAATGCAGTTATTATTTTTGTATGAAGAAAAAGATAGCAACTACAGGGTGATTAGTTTATTAATTGCATCTGGAAAGGTATACCACACAAGTCTGATAGAAAAGGTATGAGATGGAACAGTAAGTGAAGTGCTGCTGCTTCACCCCAGGCAAGGACCATGCAGGTCACTGTTTTGTCCTTTTATTCTCAAAATTATCCTTGTTCATTTAGAGAAGGCCTATGATAATGTAAAACATAAACCTTTGAAAAATATCACCCCTACTTCCAGTGGTGGGATTCAAATATGTGAACAACCAGTTCTCTGTGTGGATGCCGCTTCCGGAAGTCCATTCTGGACCTGGGCAACAAAACATTAGCTACCGGTTCTGCTGAACTGGTGCGAACTGGCTGAACCCCACTACTGCCTACTTCCCACCCCACCCCAATTTTTAAATTAACACATTTATGCATTGGCCTGTTTAGATTTCTCAAACTTCAGCTTTCTTAGGTTCAAAATAGAGAAGACAACAATGATCACAGAATCTAACTTAAATCTAATAAAATTATGCCAGATGCATCCATTCCTGAGAGACTCTGCTCATAATCACTCATGCCATAGACACTTCCTGGTTGGACTATGACATTGTGCTTTGTCCTTGGAAAGTATTTGGAAGGTTGAACTGGTTCAGAATGTAGCGGCACACACAGTGCTGAATGCATTGAGATTACAAGGTAGACAGACTGAGAAACTAATGCCAAGTAGGTCAATACTTCTTTCACTGTAATAGCTATTGTAACAGAATTTTGCAAGTCTGAATGTGCTTCCCCCTCCCTTTCTTTATCTCTGTATGCACTGAGATGTTTTCTCAATTACTTTCTTGAGGCAGACTCAGGCCCCTTTTATCTGACTGTTCCTTCATAGTGGCTTTTCCTCTTGACCTTCTAGACCAGGGGTAGGCAAGCTGACTCAGGAATTCTGGGAGTCGAAGTCCACGAGTCATAAAAGAGCCGAGGTTGCCTACCCCTGTTCTAGACCCTTTCGCCTTATAGGATTCAGAAGTCTGTCTTTTTTTGCAGTGCCTGCCCTATGGAACAGTTTGAGCCCCCAGCACACCATAGGGTACCCAGAACTCTATGCATTGCCACATTCTGGACCAGTTACAATTTCTAGATGGTCTTCAAAGGCAATCCTATGAAAGCCACGTTGTAGTAATCCCAACAAGGAAATGACAGGGCATAACTGACTATGTGCAAGGCTTCTCGGTCCCAGAATGGGCATCACTGGTAAACAAGATGGATCTGTGCAAAGATTCCCCCCAACCACAAGTGCCATCTGCTTCTCAACATAATTCAAATCACTCTGCTTCCAGCAGGAAACCTTTCAACAGTGTTGTACTACCAGTCCCATCACTTCCCACTGATGAGTGTTATGCAACAGCGTTCATTCTCAGACAATATATTTGGATAGTGCCTATTGGAGAAAGAAATTATTTAAATCTCTTAAGAAAATAATTGTTGTTTTTACTTGGCCAATGCATTACAAAACAGGTCATCACTTGAGCCTTGCTTGGTAACAGAATTAGGATTTGACTCTTCAGTAATTTTTTTTAAAAGAGAGATTCACTATAGGCTCCCTAAGGCATGCAGCTTGTTCCCATTTTCCTCTTGAGAAGCAATCAAAAGATAATGCCCTGTACCTTCTTAATTTTATTTTGTTTTGATTTGTAAGTATCCTACGTTGGGTAACATCCTATAGTTAGGTAGCAACAAACTATAATAAATCTAATAATATAAACTAAAAGAATATCTAGAAATTATTCTCAAAGAATAATTTGAGAAAGAAAGAGGGTGCTTCTAATTACAGGTCTTCCTTTTTTCCCTTGTAATGATTGTTGCAAGTTAACAACGGGTAGGAGAAATGGTGAGTGGGGTGAAATAGAAGGGATTACAAGTGGAAGTTGTTTTCTGGATCTTCATAAAATCCAGTGAAAGAGTTTGGACTGCTAAAATGGTATAGAAGCAGCCACAAATGTGTTAGATCCTTTCGCCCTCCCCGTTTTTCTCTCTCTCATATACAAACACATAAACAGATAACATCTGCTGCTAAGTCATTGTCTTCTCTAATTGAAAAAGCCCCCACTAGTCAATGAATTTCTATAAATACACAGTTGTATTCATTTGTCTAACAGAGACACTTATCTACAATTAAGTTGCGTCTGTACATCTTAGTTGGTACAATAGGTTAGTGATGGAATAAGGTTGTAGTTCTACATTTATACAGATTTGGAGTTCTTGCAGAATCTGTTTCCAGAAACCCACTTCAAATCATCTCACCAACTCCTTAACTCTTCTGTCAGCAAGGCACTTTTCAACTTTAACAGACACCCAAACAAAAATTGTTATTGTGAAGGCCATCTCTATTATTTGAATTGTGGAAATGACACAGTTAATTCAGCTTTCATATCATTGCCCCATTTTCAAAAGTTTAGGTTTCTGTTTGTAGCTATAGGACAAGTCAGAGTTTCCAAAGGTTTTCTCCAGGTGGTTGGTAGGTTGGTTTATGCCTCGTAATAACTTGAGGCTAGGAAGCTGCCTTGGGTGCCTTTCCTCTTTCATTTTCATCTGTCCAGTATGAGGCTTTCTCCAAATACCCTCTCTCCTCCTTCCCATTTTCCCTTCAGCCAATGCCTGTTCAGCATGTGATATGTTCTTTTTAAATAAATCCCTTTATCCTCATTTCTCCAGCCCATTGAATGAAAACATTGGACTGTTTATGAGACATATTTTAAAATTGGATGACATTATTGTTGAAGATGCTAATGAGACTTGTTCCTCCCCTCCCTCTTCATTCCTTTCTCCTTCTCCACTTATGTAGGATGACAGCACTAGCCATAGCGACCACCAAGACCCTATCTCACTAGCCGTGGAGATGGCAGCGGTAAATCACACCATTCTGGCGTTGGCCCGGCAAGGAACCAGCGAGATCAAAACAGAGGCCCTGGATGATGACTGATGACGCGATGGAGGGGGAGGGCTCCCAGATGAGAAAGTAACTTAGTTTTAGACGTAGCACCTTAGCAGCCTTTTTCCTGGTCCCTAATATGTGTCCTTCTTTACAATATAACTTTGCAGTCTCTTGTACGTCAAGTTTGCCGTTTAGGGTCTTGTCCTGTGAAGATGGCATGGTGCCCTCTGACTCTGCGTATAAACTCTCAGTATTAACTCCCAGTCAGATAATTAACCAAGCCGACTGACCTCCCTCTCCCAGTGCTCCCCCCTCAGCTAGATGAAAACCTTTGCTGCTCTGTCTTTAGCATTCCATGAACGTGCTTCCAGGTGTCGTAGGCAGCCCTCGATTCCAAGCCTTAGGCTAAATCTATAGAAAAACAACAATACAAACTTGGATTATCCTTCAGACTTCCTGGTGTTAACACTTTTTTATTTCCTCTTGTTATTATTATAAAGCCAAAAGGAGACAATGGAGATTCAGTGGTTTGAAGGAAAATGTCCACTGGGTTGAGAGTTTGGACAGAGAATGGGGTAATGATAAAGCTCAGATCTGTTGTCAACATCTTGTTACCAGGTGCCAATAAGCTGGGCCTCTCTTGGCAGTGCAGCAATATCATCTTTACTGCTTTTCCATAGGATTAGTACTGTTTTCCAAAGGTCCTGGCTGGTTGGGAATGAGAAGGGGAAAGTCCACCAGCTTGTTTTGATTGATGTTTGCTGCTGATGTGGTCAACATAACCTTCCTCTTTTCTTTGCAAGTTGTGTTATGGGAGGAACCACACATTTTTTCCCTCAATTCTAAGTTTCCCCAGTTAGGCCAAAGTTTCCATCTATAGAGGAAGCTGGGTCTCTCAATGAGACTCACTGTGGCTGTGTTCCTTCCAATAAGCGGTCACTAAGGTGGATGGTGGCTAAGGAATGATGTAGGTGTGTAGGTGTGATTGGATCATTCACAATTCTTTTATCAGTTTGGTCATAAATGAGCCCTGCCAAGTTCATTCGCATTTAAACCCACATAAGATATGGTTATACTCTCAGACACCCCCATGAAGAATACCTATTCTTGGAGCAAGACATGATTTAGATACAAAGATAGGATGAGCATTGTGGAAGTGGATACCGTAGTTATTTTTATATATATATATACACACACACATACATTCTGTGATGCAACAGAATGCTCTCCAGTTCAGCCTGTAATCAGAAGTTGCAGACAACTTGGATTGAAAAGTTTGTAATTGCTTACTCACAACACCCTATCTCCAAAGTATGGTGCACTCTAGGGAAAGATTAAGAAGTAACTCGTGATATCCCTCCTCACTAGATTACAGAAAATATGCATACATGTAAATTTCCATGATTTGCATAGTAGAGAGGGCAGTGGTCCTTATCTATTGCCTGTGGTGTTGGCTCTCCAAGATAACACATCATGATGTTTTTACTTCTCTAAACTAGGCATACATTCTTTGCGTCTTTGTTCTGTTCTCCTTCAGCAACTGGAAAGCTGTGCCTGTCTGAGCAGGTTAACTAATTCTTGGAAGCCATATTGCAGCAGGAAGTAGATGTTGCCATGAGCCAATGATTTAGTGGCTCTTGTGCTCCTGGGCAACAGGATTATTTTTTTACTTTCCTATTGTTAGGGCAATCTGAGATTGGATTCAGATATTGGCTATCTAGGAAATTAGAATTAGTGATTAAATACTGATGGAATGTGAGATGAATCTACTTCTATATAGCAAAAAGAAAATCAAATTTGAGGTTTTTTTTGGTTTATCTTGATCATATGTAGCACTTTGTTATTTTTTTCTTAACTAAATATATATATATTTGTATTTTGAGCATTTTTAAAAAAATAAATATCATTGGAGAAATCAACAATAACATGCTGTAAGCTCATGTTACAGTCATCCAATAATAAACCTTGAACATAGTCTATGAGGAACATCTCTGATGAAATGGACCTGGCCGAATAGCAACAGGTGATTCTCCTGTTTTGAAATGAAGGAAGGGTTGTGATTGAAAAGCAAGACATATTTTCACCAGCTTGATCGTAGCATGTGGTTTTCCTCTTTCTTGTGCTCTTTTCACCTTCACCTTATTGCAATGTTCACAGAAATTCTTCTCCATTCATTGTGCCCTTTGACCTATCTGTGCATTGGTGAACAACTAGTATACTTCAAAATGAAACTGACATGCTGACAGTCCCATTCTTGTCAAAGCAAGAATATACAGTATTTGCAGCGTTGACACCCACAATATAGTCCCTGCTGGGGCCACAGTTCCCAACATTTGGAAATGTGGTTTGTCTGTGGCCTTGTTCACATCTGTGCTTTGCCAAGGCAGATGATAGAAAATTGTAGAGAAGTGGTCAAAAGCTTAAAATCTTCAGAATGTTGAAATGCGACATGATGTTCCTGAATTTGACAGGCTCTTTTTCTCATTTTGGTGTGGCAGTTCTGCCATTCTCTAGTACTTTATTTGAAGTCATGGTTTCCCTCTTTGTATATATCTTGAATGCTCAGATGTCTTACATAAAGAGGGAGTATCTGCCAAGATCCTGTTGCTTCATGTAGTATGGTACCTACTAGTTTCATTAACTGCATAGATAGGATTTAGCTATATAATTAGTAGGCAGAAATTTTGAAAATAGATTGATATGAATACATTTTGAAAAAGCGATTGGCCATAAGGAAAAATAAAATGCCATCTTTTCAAGGGGCTGGAGCAGCCCTCTACTCTTAAACTTCTTCTTAAGAATAGTGGATGCTTCCTTATGCTGACCAGATTATCTAATGCAGGGGTGTCAAACTTGCAACGTCACGTGAGATGTCACGACATATCGTGACTTTTTTGCCATTGCCGGCAATGGGGTGGGTGTGGTTTCACTATGATGCATCCGGCCCATGGGCCAGCAGTTTGACACCCCTGATCTAGTGTAATCTATTCATCAGCTCTGAAGCAAAGAAATATCTTTCCCATCAACTGATCTTTCTGAACATAATTACTAAGGGCTGAGCTGGAAGCCTTCTAATATGTCCTCTATTTCCCTCAGTGGATCTAGGGCAGGGACTAGTTACTATCTCCATCACACATTTTCTCCATCAGGATCCTTGATGATGGCTTCTCATCACAGCCATTTGACTCCAGTTAAAATGTTAGAGTTTTGCTGGTATTTTGCTGTTCAACCTTGCACATTTCATTGGCTATATTATATGTAATTTTTAAAAATCGACTGTTGATCACTAAAGCAGAAGCAAACTGTTGTTGTCTGTCTTGTTCGTCTATTGAGAGCAAAACTCCATGAGGAGTTTTGACCTTAGACTCAGGGAAAAATGTAGGAGTTGTTTGGTAGCTGCAGAGAAAATTTCTTCTTGTGACATTTACAAGCAAATGTGTCTCACCATGACAGGTAACAAAGAAGTGAAGCAACTTTGTTTTGTGGGCTAAATGACCTGGTAAAATGTAGATATTGCAGCAGAAATTTATATTCTCATTGCTACAATGGTAATATCCTAAACTGAGAAGCATTGATGAAATGAAGTCATCATGGTTTTTGCCATTGAGCTTCCCATTACTGTTTTGGCACTGCTGCTCACTGAGGTTTTATTCTTTCTTTGGATATAGTTTTAGCAGGGTACTACCAGCTAGTTCAAGTATAAACAGAAAAACAGCAAGATTCTTGAATAAGGCCTCCATTGCAAATGATATCATTCAATTTTAGTCAGTCTCTTCTATTAACTTGTAGCCTTTCCCTGCTTATCTAGTAGTACAGTTTCCTGATAGGGCCATAAGTCTTCATGGCTTGGCCTGAAGCACTTTTCAGTTATGATAAACAGTTATTGGATTCGGCCCCTTTTATATATTGCACATACAGATAAGTAACAGGAAGCAATGGACAAGCTTTCAGTAGGCAGGCTGAACTTGTTAAAACATTAGGTCAATAGATAGCCTACAATTATCTTAATTCAAGAAGAATTGTGCCTGTGTTAAGAGATTTTGAATCTTTAAAAAGAGGATCTCAGCAAGAAATGTATCATGAAACAGTAAACTAGAAAACACATTTAGATAAGATAAAATACAAGCTTTGTTCAAAGGACATAAACATGTGGATCCAAGTTATAAGTTCTTACCACATTTTAATGTTCTTTCGTTTTTATCTGAATTCAGGGGCTAAGTTTCTTGTTACTGACAATTAAACTGTGATTGGCTTTTCTTCTTCAGTTAGGATCATCTGTTGCTTTGGATGTTCAGAACCCCCAAACTGATTTTATTTCTTGTCTTTCCAAGATGAGGTCTCTGACAAAAGCTTTTACCTGTGCTTTGTATAATAGCATTCTGATCTTTCAACACAATCCATTAGGTGTCTGACTTAGGTTATGAATGGTTGAAGAATTTGAGATACTAAGAAAGTAGAATATCTTACTTGCTCCATGAGCAAGTAAGGCTTGCAAATCATCTTAAGCAATTTGAGCTATAAGCATCCCTTAATTGTGTCTGAATTCTCAACTAGCTTCCTGCTTACAATCTGAATTATATTTTCTCATGAAATGATGAATGGTGTAGCCTTGGGATATTTTCAATACTACAGAATTGTCTGGTTTTGAGAAATCACAGTAATATTGCTGCTATCGGAAGAGGAGCTCTCAGTTCTTGAGCGTCCAAGATACCCAGTTCTATAGTCTTAGATTTAGAGGCAGTGCTTTGAGATTGGCTTCAGACTTGAATAATGTAATGTTTGAGATATGATTTTGATAGACTAGCCTTCTACAATATGATGCTGTCCCCAAATATGAGGACTACAATGCCATGATTTCCAGTCAGAATCCTAATTGAGAACTTTGAAATTTGTGAATCAAGACACATGAAGAGAGCTCTAATTGAGCAACATTTTACATCACCTGTTCCCCCCACATTTCATATTGTGTATCCTGCACCTTTTTATAAATGTTGCTTTGCTTTCCATTCATTCATTCTTAGTCATAGACGTAGAATTGGAGAAATCGAAACTTGTTGGAAAATTATTAGTACAAGTACATGAGAGATTTCTTACTAGAAGCAAATGTTTTAAAAGGGCTTCCTAATAAAATAATGCTGGAAAGACTTTTAAGGCAATAAGTGGATTTCCTTGTGCTTGTAGTTGACATCATCCTTCGTGAAAAGACTCCCTTGATAAAATTTTAGTTGCAACTTCTAT